GCTCAACCTGTTTTTTCTGGTCACGTGGTTCAGCCTGTTCTTGAACGCTCCCTGGTCAGCAATGGAATGCTTTTTCTTCTCGGGATACACAGCAACTAGTGGCAACTTTTGAGCTCAATTGGTGCAACGCCCCGGCGCCGTCAGGTTGTCTCCAGATACTCGGTGACCTTCGCTCCACCAGATTTCTTTGGAACCTTCACAGGCGACTGGACAGGAGTTGTCGTGCAACAGTTTGGTCATAAGTGTGGTTGGCACCTTTCAATCCGCATGCTACAGCCCTGGCCCCGCTCTTTCAGGTTTCTTGACCTCGCTGGCAGGGATCATTGCCTACTTCGTGGATGCAGTTCTCCAACTCCCGAGGCGCGGAACAGATCATATTGGAGTGGACGCTCTCCTGTTGCACGCAGGACAAGCTGCAGTCTCGTATCGATATTCGATCCTTTTTTATTTGCGACTCACGCGGTAGCTGCAGCTGCACCGTAGACTCCTCTCGTGGCATGTCGACAGTGAGTGCAGGCCGACGGGCGACGGCCTCATCGCCACGGCAAGCTGCTCTATGCTGATAGGGTGGGCTTTCAGCGTGTACTTGGCTGTCCTCATGCATCGGGAAGATGGTTTGCCACGAAAGCCTCCAAAGAACCACTTTGGCTAGATGCCTTGCCGCGGCTTGCCTGGCAGACCGGGAGCTGGGTCTTCTCCGAAGGGGACAGGGCCATGAAGTGCCATAGGGCCATACCGTATGGCCCTATGGCCATGCCCATCAGGACTGCAGAGGCGCATTGCGGCCCAAAAGAACCTGAATGCAGAAATGTCCTGCGCCGGCTCGACTCCCATCAGCATACATCACGCTCGCTGGCGCAAGGAAGCAAGCTCGCCCAAAGAGCGGTGTCAATCCGCCCGCTCACAGTCACAAGATCCAAGCTGCCACAAGTTCTGTAGACTTGAGCGTCTACTCACTCAGAGATTCCTTCAGCCCCGGCTCTCAACCCATCCCTGCTGTGACGGTGCCGATGCTCCGCCGCCTCCGGCCGGTGCAATGGGCCGCCTGCCAGGGCCTCCGAGGCTCGCGCTGCTGTGCGCAAGGAGAAGGAGGCGGGGACGGGGGCGGCGCCGCGGGGGCGTCTGCAACAAAAACGGCGGAGGTTTCCACACGGCATGTTTGTAGCGCCGCAAGCGGCAATCTAACAAGAGATGGCAAGTTCCGCTGCAGGCAACCATGGGAAAAGAACCCAGCCAGGCAGCGGCGGGTTGTGTGCAAAATGATTACAGAGAGGGTGGTGCAGGACTCCTTGTTGTAAGGCGCAAGGCTACCCTGGAGTGACAGGACTCGCCGCTGCTTGGGCGTCATGCTCCAGAGAAGAGCGCCGGCAGTTGGCCGTGGTCTGGATTTAAACAAGTTGTGGTGTTCTTGACCAACGGGCTTACATTGGAGCCAAAGTTGTCTTCTTGTCAAACGAAATGTCTCCTCACTGCCGATGCCCCATTATGCATGTCCTGTCCCGTCGATCTTTGCAGCGACTTGTTGATAGTTCAGAAGTGTGTCCGTGCCCGAGGTGCTCTCTGCATCGGGTGCCGTCTTGAACCTAGGCCGGGACCGCAACGAATCTCGAAGTATTGCGACTGTCAAGAATCTTGAGCCTGCGGGGGTTGATCTCAGAGGGAGCACGCCTTGCTTGTTACGCCCTCTTTCTCGGTGCAGGCTTTGGAGTCGTGATTCCAGCACTGCCCGCGCTTTCACAGGACAGCTGGGCATGCGTCGACTTTTCCGAACTTTCCCCGGAAGAAGTGGTGCCACGAGGGCCTAGGTTAGAAGCTCCCGATGTGGGGGAGCCAGGGAGCCGCCCTTCATTTCGCAGGAGCTTGGATTTGGGGCCCTCGGCGTGGGTCTGTTGCTGGGAGTTCCAGGCAGCCCTGCTTTGCCTGTGCTCTCCACAAAAGATCCCCAGATTCCAGACTGCCGGTGGGGGAGGCCTGGCCAGGGTGCTTGTGAATCTGCCTGCCGGTGTCCTGGTGGACCGCCCGAGCTCCGAGCTGGGGGGGGGCGACTCTGCTCTTTGCGGCTCGCATGGCCGAAGGCTTGGCTCTGGGCTGAGATGGCTGAGGCCTTGGAAGGGTCCCGGCGATGGTGCTGGGAGAGCTCGTCGCTGCAATGGGCTGCCAGCGTCTCGGAGGCGAAAAGAGGTGTGGACAAAACTCGAAGCCAAGGTCTGGGAACTGCTCTGGGAACGTCCATAGGCAGGCCACGCCCCTCAGGCTCAGGCTCCATGTCTCCATGTTGCCTGCTGTCAGGCACCATGTTGCCGTTGCGCTTCCTTGGTGGTTCCGGGGCCTCCCTGGCAGCTGCGGGTTCAGCCGCATACGTCGAGCCTTGCCTTAACAAAGAGCCTTGTCCGTAAGCGAAGGCGGGGCCGCGGCACGGGGCGGCTTCGACTCCGGCTAGGCGGCTAGGGAGCGTCATCAGGCAGACATGACGGAGAAGTCCCACCTCAAGCCCTTTCGTGGTGCCATCGAGACTTGGACATCGAGCTGCCTGCACCATTGTAGGCTCTTTCGTGGCCACTGCGCTGAGACTCAAAGGTTGGCGCCCAGGGCGGGCTCATCTCTGCAGCCTACGTTGTGGGCCCGGTGATAGGCTGGACAAAGCTGGCACCGAGCAAGAGTCGCGCGATCAGAGCAAACGGAGAGTGCCGGTTGCAGACAGGTGGCGTCCTAACGCAGCGCTATGGTGCCCCGATGGCGTACACAGCGGTCGCGGGGCTGATTGCGGTTTGCGGCGCCGCCTACGCCACGCTGCCGGCCTGGCTCGTACAGCATATATAGCACAGCATAGCATGCAGAGCACATCCTCGACAGCCTATATAGTCGTCCGCAAAGGGGAGGTGAGGTGCCATTGCTGGGCATGCAGGAGCCGCGGCAGCGAACATCGGGCGTGGAGATGCGTCTGGGAATCTTGCTGCGAGATGCTGCGAATGACTGGCGCAGCCTCCTGCAGGATCCACGGCAGCAGGTGCCTTTGCGATTTCGGATGTGCTAAAGTAGGCAAAACTCCTGCATCAAAGTTTGACCCCTTCTTCTTGACACGGCCCTATCATGGCCTGGCAATCGGAAATCAGAAGTGTTTTGGTCGAGCCTTTGGACAACCATGCTCTGATGGTCTCGAGTTGATCTTCAGCCAGCAGGCACTTTTTGCATGTAACCTTGCGCTTTCGCTGAACTATGCAGCCCTTGCAGCTTGACTTGCAAATAGCTCGGGTCACGTTGCTGCGATTGGAGCGGCCTCTCCATGCTCTGACATCATCCGGCTGATTTCCACACAGCCCAGGTTACGATAATGCCCCTGCAAGCATTCCATACCTTTGGCACAACGGAGCGGTGCTCAGTGAGGGACTCCGTTCGGTTGGGACCGGGCCTGCCTATGACGACTGGCTCAGGCTGCCGAGATTGGCGGCCTTTTCTCTATAGGACTGTGTTGCCACAGGATTTCAGAGAGCAGCTAGCCGATGTCAGCCTATGTCAGTGGATCGTTGAGACACGAACGAGGCTGCAAGGTCTTGCAAGGTGGCGGCATTAAGTACAAGCTCTCTGGAGACTGGCTACTGTGCTACAGCTTGCCAGGATCTGCAACGGGCATCTTCCTGGCTCCTGTTGCGGGAGCCCTGTCGGACCGTGCCTGGCTCGCACTTCATATGCTTCTGCGTGAAATACGGTGAGTCTGCTCTGTGAAAGTCAAGCCAATGGTGCAACCTGTCGCGGTGGTCCTGTGAATTCAGGATGGGGCCGTGCCCCACTCCTTGCGCCGTCGCTGGCCGTTTGCGCAGCCGGCTGCTTTGGAGTGGCCTTCAGCCAGCAGCCCCTTTGCCGATCGGAGGGGTCCTTCCTTCAACCCAGCATGTAGAAGTCGTGCCATTTCAACGTCAAGCCAAGCTCAAGCCTGTGATTGATTCAGTGACGGTTGGTCCGCGCCGGTGCTTGGTGTGGGCAGGTGGGAGCTATTCGTGCTGTCAAACCTTCTCTGGTCCGTGGGCGAAGCCGTGCTCGTAACTCGTCAAGCAATTCGAGCCGAATGAAGTTCCATAGCGGCTCACATGAGACCTAGGGGCCCGTGCTGAGCGCATACGCTGCCGACATTGCCCCAAAGGCACGAAGGGTTTCTCTTCCAGTCCTGTCTGTTTGGGGACCGTTGGCATCGGAACAAAGATAGTTGGTGAGCACGCCGGGGCTAGCACCTCGCTCTTCAGTAGCGCATCCATTGAATCTTTCGGCCTCGCCCGGCGTAGTTGGCAACTTTTTTGGTCAAATACTTTGGAACCGGTGCCCTTGTCAAACAATTCTGAATACTGGCACAGTGTCGTGCCTGAGGGCACCTGTTCACTCTCGGACACAGAACGATTAAGCCCAAGGCGTTTCGTGCTGCGCATGTTTTGCAGCAGTGTCACCTCGCAGTCAAGTTGGCAACCCCGTGCCGTGTGCTGTTGCATGTGCAAGCGAGGAAAAGGTGGGTTCTGCCCTCTCGCTGGGCCGGCAAGCGGGGGATCTGGTCTTCTTTCTGGCCCCACCGGCTGTGGTCCCAGCTTCCGATGTTGACGCGACGGCTACTATTTTAGCAAATGGGGCTCAGGTCCTGGGCCTCATCTACGACAAGTGGCCTGACCAGGCGTGAACAGATGGTGGGACGGGATGCAGGGACAGGGTGCTGGGGGGAACACGGAGTCACGAGTGTCCTGCACGTGCCAAATCTCAGCTGCAGGGCGCCATGACGCTGCCAGCAATTCTCACTCTGGTTTGCGCTGCAGCAGTCCGACATCGCCTGAAGTAAAAGCGGCTTTTGCTCTTTAAGTTTTCTGCTGTCGTGCTGCTGGATGTTGTTCGTGCTGCTTCCGGAAATAGTTGCGGCCACCAGTGGGGGTATCATGACGGGGTATCATTGAAATCGAGACGAGCTCGCGATCAGTCGGTCTGTTCCTTGTATTGACGAGAACCCGTAGGCCCTTGCCTCTTAGGCCGAGTACCTGGCTGCGACCTCGCCAGGGCCCAGTGCGCTGGACACATGCGTGTCCATGGCTCTTCCGGAGGTCAAACCCGTCAATATTCGGAGGGGAGCTAGCGTTTGATACTTGTTGTACAGCAAAGTTGCAAAGCCTGCTGGGTTTGGAAGGACTTAAGGAAAACAGTGGTCCAAGGCACATCCCCTCATCCTTCTTCAACAATGCTGCTGCAGCGCTGTTGGGTTTAGATAAGCCGCGGGCCCAGCTGAGAGCGGTGTATGCTCGGCAACGCCCGTGGAAGCTGAGTGACATTTAGCCTGCTGTACGGCTGAGGGATAAGGAAAAAGAGAAAGACGGAGAAAAGCCGGGCAACCCAGCAACAACGTGCAAGTGCCCATACACTGGAAAGAGAACATTCCCGACTGTCGTCTTTTCCCTCTCTCTCTCTCTTTCTCCCTCTCCCTCTCACTTCCGTTTCGGGTGTGCCGTTCTTCGTCATATCGTCATAGCGACGACAGTGCGACGATGTTGAGGGCAAGCGACTGTTGGGGGCAGCCGCCGTGTTTCGTCTAGGGCCTAGGGCCCCAGGATTGAGGTTAAGCTTTACAGGGCGGCAGCCTAGGATGAACAGTGAGACGGTGTCGATCCGACCAGGTGAAGCAACATAGTGGCTGGATCACAGTGCTGTCAAAAAACGTCATGGTAGCTGCTTTTTGTGAAGTCTCCGAGGAAAGAGGAATCCAGAGAAGAGCCGAAGCCTCGGCCAAGTGAAAGAGGCGAGGCCCCAAACAGAAACCCAAACCCAAGCGCCAAAAAACCTCAGGTCGAGGCCCACCCCGCTCTCTGGCCGGAAGCCCGGAGCGAAGGGTTTCCGGGGCCACAACTGTCAGCGACCCGCCGCTTCGAGGCATCCCCGAGGAGCCCAAGGGCATGGGTGAGGAGCCCGGTGAGGGCCGAGGGATGCCGAGGGATGCCAAGGGCTGGAAGCAGCTGGCAAAAGCTCGCAGGTATGCCGGCTGCCTTTGGCGCGCCGCCGAAGGGGCCAGGCAGGGAACAGGGCTTTTGGAGTCTTTCAACCTACTCCGAACCCGGATCTCTTCACGCTCAGGTATGTCAATGCCGGCATTGGGTCCTGGCACCTCGGAACGTTCAGCTTTGAGTCGGATTTTGCCCCCATTCAAAGCAGGCTCCATGCATTGCCGAGGCATGGGCATGCCGGGTATGGCAGGGGCTGCGAAGGCACGGGAGACGTTGCGCAGCTGCAAACCCAACCTCACATGGCACGTCTGTGCCGCAGTCCGCGGGCGGCCTCCCTGCAGCGATGATGGCCATGAGAAAGCCGGACGAGGTCGTCGAGTCGTTTGTCGATTTGAGCAGATTCGAGCAGTGTGGTGCATGCGCTAGCGGGTCAGGGTCCACCGAAGACGCCTGCACCTCAGCTCTGTCGAGCCAGCTCTTCCCGCCGACTTGCTCATCGCCTCGAGGATCCCGCCCAAGTTCGGCGCTCCGGGACCACCACCCATCCCGGTGAAGTCGGTGCGCGGGGGGGGGGGGAGGGAGACTTTCGGCAAATGCCTGTGGTTCGGGTGTGAGCTGTTTCGCAAAACGGTTTTGACGCTAATTAGCCCCGAACGAATGTGAGCTTGCTGCAGTTGCCTTTCTCCACTGTCAATAGGTCGGAAGACCCCCACTTTGCTATTGCACCCCTAGAAGCTAGACCGCGCTCCCAAGATGGAAACAGTGTGAGGGCTGAGACTGTGTCCAATCCCGCATGTAAGATTATGACGTTCTCAGCAGGTTCTCAAGTTTGCAAAATACTTCGTGTTCCGGCACTACCGAAGGAGGTAGCTTCCAACAAGGCAGATGAACCTTACTTTGCTCCGGTCGGCAGGGCATGCCTCTGCCGCCACCGAGTGGGCAGCCGTCGCGGCCTCGAGCAGAACCACAGGCGCCACAGGCGGAGCGTTGGTAGCAAACGTCAGCGGCTGCAAGTGGCCAGTGGAGAACGTTCTTGCCGCATGTCGACTTTGCATAGAGGCGTTACTGCTCAAACCGTGACTTGCAGGGTTGTGTAGTGAACATTGCTTTGCAGATCTACCTGTCCAACTCATTAGTTGTCGAAGTACGACTCTTCAGCCGGCGTCGATTGAGGCAAGCATCGTCGCCGAACTTGTTCCCAGGATCCTTCGATTTTCTAGCTTTCTGATCATTCAATCAGCCCCTGCCGGCTTCAGATTTCGTGCCAGTCATTTTCGTGGTGTTTTAGGGCTCGCTCCAGCTGGACTTAGATCCAAGCCAGGGATAGCCAGGGTCGCATAATTCGAGGCATTCGAGGTAAAACAAAAAACGAACACGGCTGCGACTTCTGTGGTCGACATTGGCTGCTCGCCTCTGTACTGCTTCCGCTTCTGCGCTGGCACTCTCATGTAGCACGCTTTGTACAGGTGTCGTGTTGCACATGCATGTGCATAGTGACATTTGCTCGAGGGTCGAACGTGCAGCTACGGCCCGAGAGCATCAGATTTTCTTTCATTAGGACTCCTCTTTGGTCATGGCAGCTTGCTCCGCGTCAGAAGTTCGCAGGGCAGTGGCGGTGCTGGAGGCAGTGGCGGCCTCTGCGTCCACTGATTACCATACTGCTTTCGATTTGCTGCTGGAGCGCTGCCGTCACGACCTTATGGAGTTCATGGCGTATGTCGATACGGACGTGCATCATCGCTTGGCTGCTCTTCGCGATCTGTTGACTTCTTTGAAGTATGACCAAGCCATTCCGATCGAAACTGCACAACCGTATCGTGAACTGTTGTCTTTTCAGGATGCCGCCTCCAAGAAGACCCTTGAGATTCGCAGGTTGTGTGCGCAGTCCTCTGTGCTTGCTACGTTCTGCCCGGCTGGTGGAGCAGCTATGTATGCATGCGAGTACATGCGAGTTCAGTGCCGAGCCATCGGACAGGACAGGACTGCAAGGGGGCATTGATTCAGGACAGCACTTTTCCATAGCGGCCTCAGCGGCTGATAGCAGTCCCAATCTTGTAGGGCTACAGTAGTGCGTTTCGGCTCGAGATGGCAGCCGGTGAGCTGTGGCGAGTACTCAGAGACCGGGGCCTACAGGAACTGGCTCCTTCGCTAGTTCGATCCGGGATCTTTCGTTTAGAGGATGTTCTGGTCAGACGCGAGGAGTTGGCGCTAGTCGGTGTTTCGCCATGGCAAGTCGAACTGCTGTGTCACTCTGCTACAGCTCGTATATCGGTGGTGCAGCCGGCACCGGCCGAGAGGCGACAGGATTTGCCTGTTTTCCTCAAGCGATCTAGGGCCGATTTTGATGCAGCTTTGAACGCAGCGCGGCCAGCCAACAGAGCCGAGGCCATTGCAAACCTGAAGCGTGACATTCTTGCCAGGAGCACCACGGGGCCAGTTTTGTCTAGGATTCAGTTTTGGCACAACGTTACCTGGGCCTGGGATTTGCCTGCTTTTCCGATCGATCGGGAGAATCTGACAGCCGTAGCTGCTAGCTTGAAGGCCGGCGGTTACAGGAGCGCTGCACAATATTTCTCAACAGCAATCAAATGGCAGGAACGCGAATTGGGTGTCACTGTGTCCAGCGAGTGCAGAGCTCTCGTGAAAGATTACACGAGGGCGATTCGCAGAGGCTTGGGGCCTGATAAGTTGAAGGACAGCTTCGCGGTCCAGGATCTAGAGGCGGCCATCCAGTCCATTGACATTGAGGCGCCGGGGCCATGGTCGCCCAATGACGAGGCGTCATGGTTGGACGCTTCTGTTGTAGCATGCTGGTACATGTTGCGTGAAGTGGAACTGGCGGGGATGCGCCGGCAACACTTGTATTTACATGGGAACAAAGTGCATTTGCTTTTGCCAGTAGAGAAGACGGACACTGCAGGATCGCTGTGCTTGCGGTCGCTCGCCTGCGCTTGTCGGGTGCGGCGACAACCGTTATGTCCATACCACGCTGCCGCGAGACACATTGCCAGGCTGGAACGATTCGAGGCCGAGACGGGAATTGACGCAGGGTTTATGTTTCCAAACTTGAACGGCCAGGATCTGACCAAAGCAGAGGTCATACGTGGCTTTGGCATAGCTTTGACTCGAGCAGGTGTTCCTCTCAGCCGTCCCGACGAAATGGGCAAGCCCGTTTCTCGGTTTGGTGGCCATGTCATGCGCGTCTCAGGAGCCCAATGGCTGATATACATTGGCCTTTCTGTGCCACTGGTACAAGTGTTAGGTCGTTGGAGCTCAGCGGCCATCTGGCGTTATATTCAACAATCCCCTTTAGCACAGATCCCTGCAGTGGCATCTCAAGCTCTAGGGAGAGAGAGAAATTTCTCTGAACAACCGGACGGCCCCGCGAGACAGCTGGGCCCAGAAACCGCAGATTGGCTGTTAGTCGATGGGCGCGAGAGAGCACCCAAGAGGTCGAGAGAACCAGACAAAGAGTCGCGCGGCAGCGACTTGCGGAAAGACTTGGGCGAGCAAGCTCAACAGATCCAGCAACTTCGGTCGGAGATGAGTTTGCTGAAACAAAGTTTTGCTGAACCATCTGTCTTTTATATTCAGTCGTTCAGGAGCGGGCGCATCCACAGACCAGCAGTGGACGAATCAGCTAACCGGCCGAAGAAGTGGAAAACTTTGTGTGGCTGGCCTTACGGCATTAGGAATCACCACAGGATCACGGCATATACCGAGGAATCCAAACTTTGTGTTCGATGTTTCGGGCTAGAGCCTCCCGAGGAGGACCATGCCGGCCAGGGGGACAACTGTACAGGTGACAGCAGCAGCTGTAGCGACTCGTCCGACAGCTCGTCGAGCTCGTAAAGTGCATTGCGATCTTTAGGCATTGTTCCGGGGTTCAGGGGACCGTCAGTGCCATCGAATTTGTGCCAGGAGTTTTGCTTGGGCGTGTTCTTCGTGTCCTACCTGGCCCAGTTCCTCAACGAGCGCATCGAATCAGCGGGTGGCAGGACGCCGCGTAGGGACACAAGTCTTCTGAGGGCATCAGGATCGTCAGAGCAGCCAGTGAGTACCAGTCGGGTTGTAGGAGCATCGCGTGGGTTAGATGTTTCGCAGATGGATTGAGCGGCGTTGACCGCAGAGAGGTCGGTTGACCCGGTGTCACCAGGACAACCGACGGAGAGAAACCGGAGGCAGCGGGCCCTCTGGTGCACTCGGCATGCATAAAAACTGTGTCGCGGTGACGGGATTCAGTGCCCCTCGACAGCAGCAGTGTAGGCGACATTCCGTTCGAGTGATCAGGTGACGCCGTTAGGGCACGCAGTACTGGATTCGGCAAGCGCAAGCTACATCCACGCATGTGCGTTTTTCGCTTTGTTCAAGTTTTGTGGATCGGCGGTAGAAGTGGCGGTGAGTGAGTATGTCATGGGAGTTTTGAGTGTGACTTTCAAGGCAGGATTGTCGTGCCTTCAGGAAGGGTTCGGTCTTTGCGTTCGCCGTTCATGTGATTTGCCTGTCGCGGCCCATGGCTTCGGCTACAGAGTTGACCTTGAAGGAGATAGCAGATCAAGCCGGCGCAGGCACAGAGATAGTGCGATACCTGGATGAGCGAGGGCTCAAGTCCACAGGAGCGCTGTCTTTGATAGCGTCCAGCGAGGACGCTTTTGAGCAGATTGTGTGCAAACCGTTGTTTGATGGTTGGCAGCACACCCCCACTTCTAGAAAGATCGAACTGTTGCCGGAGGAACAACCCATAGCGAAGGCGATATTACTTTACATGTGGCACTTGGCCAAAGAGACTCGAGCGAAACAGGTCATCGCGGCAGCTCCAGGAGCGGTTGGAACACCAGCCTCTACACCACCAGCTTCATCATCAGCCTCAGCTTCGGATTCGAAGGTCCCAAAAACGTTGGCGGCAGGTGAATGGAACCGCCTCATCGAGCGGTACAACGCCATTACACTGGCGTCCGAACGCCGGGAATTCCCGGAGGAGGAGCTGTTGGGAGCGGAATGCGTGGTAGCAAGGGTCCTTCACGAACATGTGACAACGAAACAATATAGTCCTGTAGGGCTTGGTGAGGTGATCACAAGACGGTCCATACAGGCCAACGGCGAGGTAAATCCTCTGGCAAAGCGGGCCAGGTCAAGTAAACTGTCCGTGGAGGACGGCATATTGAAGGAGGAGTTCCATCAAGACGACGACTGGACACCCAAAGGACTGCTTAGCATAATGGACGGCTTGAATTCGATTCGGTGGCTTTTCATACTCACCGAGATCGGCCCGGAGAAGGCCGTACATCACTATTTCAATCAGCTTATCAAGAAACTCAGATCCCGCCCCAACAAGCTTGTGGCCTTTCGAGCGTATTACGAAGCAATTTCATGGCGCCTAGCTGCTTTTCTTCGTCAGGGCAAGAGCTTCAAGGAAGCATCCGAGTCGATATTGGCAGATGTGTCTTGCTTTCAGGAACACATGCTGAAGGAGGAGAAGAACTTCGATCCGAACAAGAAACGCCCCTTCGCGGATGCAGGCTCGCAGGACTCACCATCGAAGCTGCAGCGACAGCAGACTAAGGGCAACGAGAAAGGTGACAAGGGCAAGCAGGGATTCAAAGGCAAGACGGCGAAAGGCGATGGCAAGTGGCGTCCATGGCAGGACTTTACTGGCAAGGGCGGCTGGCAACAGACCCGCACATGGCAGCGGGATGAGGACCGTCGCTAGGGACAGCGCGGGGCATCCCCGCGTGCCGAGGGGGCTGTACCCGTTAGTGTTTACACATCGGCACAGCGGCGGGTGGCGCCATATCCGGCACCACCCAGGTCGCCGGATGACAGTGTTGGCAAGCCAGTGGCAAGCAACCAAGACGCTTCCAAATCCCATCAAACGTCCCAGGATGCAGGGTCGCTCCAACCGTCGGGGGACGGCTCTACTACCACCAGCTCCAGCAGCGGATCAGCATCAGCGTCGAGCTCCAAACCCGGAGCCGCTGGCCCTACTTTGGAGTTGAACCTACCGGCAATCGCATTGTCGAAGGATTGCTTCCTGCTCAGTTTCTTTGATGGCATTGGTGCCTCTGCTTATGTGTTACAGCGCATGGGAGTCCGTCTTCGTGCAGTCTTCACTTGGGAGGTGGATGAAAAGGCGAAGCTCATATCCAGGCGGCAATTCTCTGGTCTGCGCTTCGACCGGGGTGACCTTCGCAACGACGACCCCAAGAAAGTGGCCGGTATGATAATGGAGATGGACCCCGAGTCCAAGGCAGTGATCCTTATCATGGCCGGACCCCCATGTCCGGATTTTAGTCCGGTTAATCCCGACGGTCAGGGGCGAGCGGGATCCACTGGTCGTCTCTTTACAGAATTCTGCGATTTCCTGTCTCAGTTTGAGGAGGCCGTTCCGAATCACGACCGCCACATCCTGGTAGAGAACGTCGTGATGAATCAGAAGTCTGATGTCGATTGGTTCACGCGCCACCTGAAAGCTGAACCCATACTACTGGATTCAGCCGAACTGGGTCTTGTGTCTCGACCGCGGTTGTTTTGGACGCGGATGGATTGGGCTTCGGTTCGGACCAACCCTTTCACCAACAAGTTGTTGAGGTGGGGACAGAGCCAGGGCCACAGGAAGCTTTTCATGGACGCGCCCAGGGACAACCATGAATCACTGGACATGCCAGGACTCTCGCTGCCTCGCGAGGTGATCAGCGGCGCCAGGACATTTCCTTGCATCACAACACCCGCTGGAACAGCGGAAGGCAGGCCGCCGCCTCGCAAGATGCGCGGGAAAGTGGACCCAGCGGCCAACCGTCGATGGTTAGAAGGCCACAAGCAGTATGCACCATGGTTCTATGAGGAGTCTGCCATGGTGCGATCATGCACCGATGATCTTATGTTGTTGCCCGTTGAACTGAAGGAGCAGCTTCACCACTACCCTTCAGGTATGACCCGACACGATCAGGTGGAGCCGCGCGATCGTCATCGTTTGTTAGGCAACAGCTGGCATGCAGGTGTAGTGCGTTTTCTGATGTACCTGATGCTGTCGCAACTTGTGACAACGACAGCGACTGCTTCCGACGGCTTGATGCAGTCAGGCTCCGGGCTTCAGGAGGCGATTGCACTTGCAAGGGCGTGCAAGCTTCCCGTGGGCAAGGGCCCAGTGCTTGGATCGACAAGCGTGATGCCTCCTCTCCCCGATGAGTGGTCCCATTGGTTCGCGAGTGTTTCTGCTGTGCACCCGCTTCTAGAAAGGCCCTCCATTTTTGAATCCATGCGTGTGACATATGCACGGCTGATCAATCTTGGTCCGAAGGTCGCCGATTTTCGGCGCTCCGTGCTTCAGGGCATCAGACAACTCGTGCAAGAGCGCAAGCAGTGCAGCGAGCAGTGGTTTGCCGGTTTGCCATCACACGTACAAGCCGCGTATAGGTCTGAAGACGGCAGCTTTTTCTTGCAAATCCCAGTGCTCATAGAGTTACTCCGAGGTTGTGGCTATGCTGATGCCGACGTGTTGATGTCGGAGTTGAGCTCGGGTTTCTCGATGCTTGGCACAATCAGACCATCAGCTGGGTGGCAACCACGTTGCGATCAGAAATATGCTCATGCCATCGGTATGCAGACCTTCAGGGATTTGAACAAATCCTATATCAATCAGCGCTTGAAACGCGCCCGACCTGATCCCGAGTGGCAACAGCTTCTTACAGAGGTGGCAGCGGAGGTCCGTTCCGGTAAGATGGAGGGCCCTTTCGAGGCCCCCAGTTCTTGGCGACAACCTACGGTGACCGCTTCTGAAATCACTGGTTTTCACGAGTTACTGCCTTGTCCTTCACAGGAGCCTTGTGTTGCTTGGGCATTCTCAGTGAAACAGGAGGGCAGTGACGGAAGGGCTAAAGTGCGTCGGTGCGAAGACTATCGACGGAGTTACCACAATTCCACGATCACAGCATTCGATACCCCACCTCATGATGACGTGGGAGTGTATTTGAACATGATTCGATTTCTCGCTGCCAGGACCAGAGCGATTGTCATATGGGCTCAGGATCTGGAATCTGCATACCGACAATACCCCGTTCAGGATCCATCACATTGTTTCGTGGTGGTGATGACGCCAAGTGGCGCTACTCTGTGGCGGCACCGGGTCATGCCGTTCGGAGCAACTGCTTCGGTATTCCATTTCAACAAGGTCACAGATGCACTTATTTGGCTGTCGCGCGTGTTACTTTTACTACCTGTCATTCATTACGTGGATGACATAGGCAGTGTAGACCCTGAGGAGCACGCCAATTCCAGTTTCGAGGCATTCGATGAGTTTTGTTCTCTCCTGGGTTATCGTTTGAAGTTCTCCAAGAGACAGCTACCTTCCCACACACAGAAGATCCAAGGGGTCTGGATCATCGTGGAAAGCGACGGGGTAACAGTCAAGCCAGATGCGCACATATTGACCAAGGTCACCCGGCTGATCGACGACGCGCTTCAGCAGGACCAGCTGGCACCCGAGACAGCGGCCAGGCTAGCTGGCAAGCTACACTTTCTTGCCACCTCTTTGTTTGGCAGGATAGGTCAGAGCCTGATACATCCGGTCCACGGCAGGGCCAGTGCTCAGGGTGAGGCCACCGAACAGCTGAACTCCGGTCTGAGGGCAACTCTACAGTGTCTGAGGTCGTTGCTCAAGCTTCCACCACCAAGGTACATTCCGTTTTCGAGTGATTCACCGGTGGGCATTGTGTACGCCGATGCCTTTTTCGAATTAGGTCAGAACCGGTGGTTCGTGGGGTCTGAACAGCTTCCGAAGCGTTGGCCATCAGACAAAGCCCACCAGATGCGGAACGGCTGGGGTTTCGTGTGCAGATGCCCCTCGGGCACCAGGGCAGGACACGGCTCAGTGCCTGAATTCTTGTTGAGCCTTTTCTGTCAGCGCAAAGCTTTTATATATTTCTTGGAAATCTTGGCCCAGGCCATAGCACTGTTGACGAATCGTTCTTTCTTACCGCCTTTCTGGATCAGTTTCGTGGATAATCAAGCTGGATTATCGGCTTTGTCCAAGGGCTACGGACGCGACGATTGCATAAACAGGCTCCTTGCTTGGTTTCATCATTTGTGTGCTCGGTTGGGTTGGCAGGGACACTTCGAATGGGTTCGCAGTGCTTGCAACATCGGCGACAAAATTTCTCGGGGCGACCTTTCCCAAGCCGAGCGTTCCGGCTGGCAGATGTTGGAAGGCGATTTTGTCGATCTTTGGGAGATCCTGCGACGAGTAGCCACTGATTGGCATTTTGCGGTCGGACCGGGCGTGGATGCTGCTCTCAACCTCGTTTGGCATTTTCAGCAGGCTCCGAGTGGTGGCGATTAGGCGTCAGAGCTGCTGCAATGCGGCGTTCAGGCAGCAGCAGCTCAGAAGCCTCTCGAAGCAGCAGATGCTGCGCCAACTTCAACGGCAACCGGAGTGGACGAGCGGAAAAAGTTGAGCCGCTTCAGCTCTGAACTTTCGTGAGCACCGACGGAGAATGTCGTGTTGCACATGCATGTGCATAGTGACATTTGCTCGAGGGTCGAACGTGCAGGTACGGCCCGAGAGCATCAGATTTTCTTTCACCCACCCTCCCACCGCGACGTCCAAGACGTTGTTGGCGAGAGCTTCAGGCTGTTTGCTGCTACGGCGTTCAGGCAGCAGCAGCTCAGAAGCCTCTCGAAGCAGCAGATGCTGCGCCAACTTCAACGGCAACCGGAGTGGACGAGCGGAAAAAGTTGAGCCGCTTCAGCTCTGAACTTTCGTGAGCACCGACGGAGAATGTCAGTGTTTGATGGCTAACGGCTACGGGGTATCGACTGCTACAGCTGCTCATGAAGTCACGAAATCCGCGCTACTACTTCGTACGGAAGCTGCGCCCATGTTCAGAAGACACAACCAAACCAAAAGGCGCAAACCTATTTGGAGCCGTTCTCAGGTTCCCACCCAAGCCTGGCTCAATGGCGATGATTCCAGCGAAAAGTGTCTGTCACCCAGACGTGGATAGTTACAGCCGTCAAAGCCGGGACTTGGCTTTGGGCTTTGGTCATAATCGACAGGGTTGAGGGCAATGGGCTTTACACCATCTCATGTCAGCATGTTTGAGCATGGATGGGCGAGGGAACGCTCTGAGTCTCGCTGCCAGGGTGGTGGCCCGATGCCTTGCTTTAACTCTGGACCTGGGCACTGCTCTCAGAGGACAAGTGCCAGGAAGTGATAGAGGCAGAGAGGCATTGCAACGATTCTTGCAGTTGGTTTGTTCCAGACCGTCGCGTCTGACAAGCAGCAAGCACGACGGTGCTATTCCTGTGAACTGTTCCAGTCAGCACAATTAACCCTCTGAGGAACTGGAAAGCGAAACTGTTCTTTGGGTGCTACTTTACTGCCGTGGCACTGTTTCTCAAGCGTTTGCCCAAACTTGGTTTAGCTATGTTTCGCACACTCAACAGGCCCTTGTGCCAGGTCTTGCTGTTGCCACATCGCCTGCATGCAAGCAACGAGCGATACTGCACCGGGAAAAACAAAGACGACGTGAGCATGTGCACCTTTGAAATAGTGCCACGGCAAGCAGGCTGAACGAAGAATGAGGTTTTGTTGCATTTGGTGTAACAGAGGCCTGGTCTCGGCATGCCACCGTTCCAGCCTCAGGCTAGGCATTTGCTAGGTGCAGGCGGGCATGAAAGCTTGACTGCAGAATTTGCGTGGAGTTTGCTAGAGCCAAGACTTCTTTGCATAGATTCGCCAGAAGTAGGAGGCAGGGTCTTGCAGCGTGCGTGTTTGCGCGCAATGCCCGCCGACTGAGGAAGGCGCCTGGAGACAACAAAGATGATGACGATGACTCCAGTGACGACTCTAGTGACGACGATGGCGCCGCCCCGAACCCGATGATGATGTTAATGATGCTGAGCCTCGGTTGCACTTGGCTGAACCATTCCATCGCATCGTTTCTACTTTGATACATTCGTCGTATTCCCGCTGGGTTACGAGTGTAGACAGGCGGGCCTGTGTGAAATGTCAATTTTGGGGACACGTGCCTGTGAGGAAACAGATGCAAACCGCCGTGATGTCGAACATGGACAAGGACCGACAAGTGCAAAACCCTTGGTGCTCGCGGCATGTTTGAGAAGCGCTCATGTCGCCAAGCTGCCTGGACCAGGCGCCGCCAGAGATGCAAGAGCAGCAGAAGATGCTCTTAAACATGCAGCAGCAGTTCGAGGCGAGCCAACGGAGCTTTGACGGCCTTTATGCACATTGTCGGTCACCAGCTGTTTGCCCGTGCAGTCAACGCTCATGTCGAAGATGGGCATGGAGCCGTGCTCTCAGCTGGACCGAATGCCGACAACTATGTATGCCTGTCAGAAGCAGTGAGATCGTGCTTGTGAGGTCCGGTGGCTCTGCGTGACATCCCCGGCACGCGGTTGTGGTTACTAGCCCCTGTATTGCTTATGTGAACTAAGGCCTTCGGACACGCCCATGTTCCCGCCACCTGGAATGCCTGGTGGTTGCGGCGGTTGCGGCGGTTGCGGAGGCTGTGGTGGGCCATGTGGACCACCAGGGGGCTGCGGCGGCCCGCCCGGCGGCTGTGGAGGGTGCGGAGGTCCGCCCGGCGGCTGTGGAGGGTGCGGAGGGTGTGGCGGGCCATGTGGCCCCCCAGGTGGATGTGGGGGGTGCGGTGGACCATGTGGACCACCTGGTGGCTGCGGAGGTTGCGGCGGCTGTGGTGGCTGCGGCGGCTGCGGTGCTTTGGTTGCATCTGCAGGGCTATCGGCAAAATCTTGAAACCTCTATTTCAAGAGATCTTGTCATGTGCTGAGTGGAAAGTGGCGCTTGTTGGCTGGCATTTCAGGTGACAGGCCTCGACAGGACCCAGAGTCTGAAGTTCAAGACGTAAAGTCTGAGTGCTGAGTCCTTGCTTGGAGTTCATCGAAAGCAGTACTGAGCATGTGCCAGATCGATCTGTTGCATCAGCACATGCAATGTTGCCTCCCACTGCAAGGACGGCGGCAAGTCTTCGTTGCCTGCTGCCTTGGCAAACAAGCATAGGGCCGAGAGTTTGAGGAGCTCCATCTTCAGAATGCATTCTCTTGGATCTTCTTGGATCATGTCGAAGAACGAGAATCTGTAATTTGTGTCCTGTTGTAATGTGTGTACTGAGGCAGAAGATGGATGCCTCCAGCAACTTAATGAGCGTCGCCTCTTCCGCGTCAGCTAATTCCCCTAATGTGCTGGCCTGAGAGTTGGATTGGTGGCAGGCAACCAGGCCAGACATATCTCGAGCTGAGCCGGGGTTGCCATAAGTCCTCAGCACCCCGCACCCCTGCATGGCTTCTACAGTACTTGGCAGCATAGCTTGTCTTCTTGCATGGAAGCTGAACCGTCATCTGCGAGGCGATGATGCCTTCAAACATGGCCCGGGTCCCGGTGACGACTAATTTCTGACCATGACTGCCACGACCACTTGTTACAGTATTGCCTGGCACAGAGCCTTGGACATGTGGTGTTCTTGGTTCTAAGATGCTATCTGATATCTGCATCGTGTTAGTGCTGGGAGCCTCCGTCGCTGCCCAGGGGCTGCCAGCCGCGCAGGCCATGGCAGCTGCAGCGGCCTTGGTCACAAGAAGCTGGTTTCGCTTGGGCCCCCTGCACTTGGCGACTTGTCTCTGCGCTCGGAGGCTGGAGCTACTCCGGAGATGCTTCAGATGATGCAGCAGATGATGGGTATGAACTCAGGCGCAAAATGCCTGAACAATCCTGACATATTCGCCGCATCCGTCCATACATCTACAACGATTCAATGGTGGAGTCTCCATACGACTGTCACGCACATAGGTTGCAACAGTCCCACACTTCTAGTGTTGTCTGTCCCTTAGCTAAGGCTTGTTTGGCGTTCCGTTTTCTCGTGAGACATGACTTTTCCGCGGTGCGGTCAAAAGGGCAGGCCTTAGGCTTGAGCGAGAGCTCGAGGGTGTGTCAAGATTCTTCAGTGAGCTTGCTATTTTTCAATACTTGCTGATGATCAGTCGGGAAGGCAAGAATATAAGTTGCTTTTAGCAGGCACTGTTGTCATGATGCATGAGCTTAAACATGCTGTGCATCAGGAGAACACAGCGAAGGGCTTTCAATATTCTGTCACACATGTGGCAAAGTGATGCTCGAGACACTCGAAACAGATCATGGGGCAGTTTGGGCCTTCGCATGAGGGCACTGGAGGTTCGGATCGACGGAGTCTTTGCATCAGAGTGCAGGATCTGCTGCTGAGTAGCAAAAGGCGTTAGGCCATGCTTTGTTAGTTTGTGACGAAAGCTTTTCAAGAGCTTGCGGGACTCGTCGGTCAGAAAGAAATCTTCCGGCTAACAAGACAGTCTGGGGCGTGTAGCGGGAGGAATCCACAATGGTTCGCTCTTGTAGCAGCCAAAAAATGCAGGTGCCCCCATCACGGCACAACATGCACAGCTGCCTTTCGCACACCATACATCGTGCTGTTCGGCGGCACGAGGATTGCTCGTGGAGAGGGTGCAGGAGTCGTGCGTGTTGGATTCGTAAAGGATCGTGCCGGTCGCACGAAAAACAGCCGGATTTTCGAGAAATTGCCTGCGCATTTATTGAAATTTACGATGGATCACGCAGGCCTAAGACGCGACAAGGCGACACTCGAAATCCCGGCCTGCTGCATCAACCGTGCATAAAGTAGATTAGGACAATGACAACATCAAAGAATGAAACAGTAATATCGTCACATCATCTCAGTCCCAAACACCCGTGCTGACGAGCCTGCCTGCCGGTCCGAATGCACATGTACAGGAGAGTTTCACGATCTAGGCAATTACAGTCGAGAGGGAAACCCATGAATGAGGGCAAGTCAGTGTCTAATTTTCTGGACCTCTGGAGCCAACACTCCATCGCCACTCAACTGTTTTGGACAGTCACAGCTTCAAAGTCAACGTGACTCCGCGTGTTAGCAGGTGGCTATGTCGACCCATCGCAGAAAGGTGCCGTCAGGAGCCCAGTGATGCTTTGGCCTCGCCTCCGACATGCTATGTCGCAGCGGAATCCCATATGCCCATGAGATTGGCACGAAGTCGCATGTGTTTTGCGAGGTCGAGGCTCAGCAGGAGGCTTTGGCCAACGCAGCCAGGGAGCTGCAGGCTGCCCAGGCGGAAACGCACAGTTGTAAATCGCGCGCGATCTGTCGTCCAACGTTCATCTGCGGGCGCAGCGCGCAGTCTTGGGTGATTCTTGGTGGGGATTCCATCAGACCGTCTTGTCTGCGGCTTGCAATGAAGGAAGCTGCAGCAGCCCAGCAAGCTGTCGAGAGCCCAGCAGGGCTTGATGAGCCCATCAATTCCTTCTCTGCGTGGATGAAGTTCCTAGCAATCCCGCAATGGGTGCCTGAAATCATCTGAGGCGTTGGAATCCATGTCACCAGAGCAACGGGATGCCGTGCTGGCTGCCATGTCTGCTGCCAGCGAGGACAGGAACGGGGTTGGATTTCTTTGGTGTCCTTCTCAAATGCATGCAACTTGTGCTGGCCATGTCTCCAGCTGTGTTGCTACTGTTTGCCTCGTGTGTATGATGCAGGCTCAGCAGGCTCAGCAGTCCCAGTTCTATGAGGCGGGAGCAGTAAGTGCCTTGCAAGACCTCGCCACTCCTCTCTTGAATTCCCAAAGTTGCACGGGCGAAAAGACGGCGAGCGAACGGGCGAGAGAGCGTGCTCAATCAGGCCATGAAAGCTCATGAGATGGAGAAGCTGCAGAAGGTGCGGACAATCTTGTCTCGCCAAGTGTGGTACAGTACCTCCAAGCTTACCTACTGTGCTCAGAGCGGCTACTACCAGAGCAACCAGCCTGAGCGGTTTAAGGACGGTTACCGACCGCCTGGGGCTCAGACGCCGCCGGCTTCTTTCGATGCTGCTGTTCCACAGTTGGTATGCATGCTTTTAACCTTACTTTTGTGCATGCAGCAAGCACGAAAAAGCCAAGAAGCAGCAGCAGCAGTCGCAGTCGCAGCTGTCATCGGATCATGGGCACATTACGTGCGCTGGCGACAGGCCGCAAACTGCACGGTATGTGATGTTTTATTGGGCGCCTAGGCGGTCACCAAAACACAGTAAAGTCTGCATCATGGTAGATGCAACCCAGCACTTCGAAGAACGCGGCTTCAAAAGTTGTGACCGTGGCGGTCCTGCTTTGACGGAAGCTTGGGAGCTCTACACTTCTAACTCAGAATCGGAAACAGGGGATGCCAGTGCAACTCTCGGCAAGCTCTGTAAGGCTGTAAGGCTTTGCAAGGCATTCTTATTGTGAATGCTCGGGTGCTCAGCCTGCTAGGCTGCGCATGTGCAAGCACTACAAGACGGACCAGTGCTGGCGAGGGCAAGAGTGCACCTATGCTCACAGTCTGGAGGCCAGCTTCGGGTCTTGAGGGCTTTGCAAGTTCTGCTTTCTGCATGAAGGTAGTCGAGCCTGTGACGAGGAAGCATCGATGTGTGCGTTCGAGTAAAGATTCCGAAGATTCATTCTTGTGCGCCGGTACTCGGCAGTTTCTGTTGGACTAAAAGAATTATGGATTTTGATGGCTCTGTAGGACTCCTGAAGCTACAGAAATGCAGGAACTTCATCCGGCCTCGCCGGACCTCCCGCGGGTGGAGGCACTGCCGGGAGATGGACGCCTTGAAGCTTCCGAGAATCGTCTGCACATAGGCAGCGTGGCCGCAGGTGAAGGAAACAAATGCCTTGGCCGAGCAGCAGAAGGCCCTCTGATCGGCCTGCGAACCCTGGCAATGAATCTGTGCCGCGATGCATAGAAGCCTGAGCACAAACGGGAAAGGCTTGGAAGCTGCATGATGTGCTGCAGCACCATGCCAGTTGCGACAGCCAGGTGGAAGACAGCGCCCCAGATGTCAGACTGAAGAAGAAGAAGGAGCTGTTGAAAACATTTGCCGCATGTTGCCGTTTGCCTTAGCCACTTCACACGCTACGAGCGTCTGCCCAGACAAGAGGCATGTCCTTGTCTCTTGAGGGTTCACATGCCTTCATCCAGAATGTATATGCATACATCAGTTACATACTTGTAAGATTACATAGGCATGCATTACACAGGCAACGGACAGCCGTTAGTCGATCTATGTACCCACCTGCTTCTCCATCACTTAATTACACAACGTAACTCAATACTTGAGTTCTTTCCACATAAAGTATAACACTATATGACTATATGTCACACTTTATGGTTTCAACATGTTCAACTGCGCTAGATATGAAATAACATAGATTCACCTGTCAAGAGCCAGTGATGTAATGCGGTATAATTGGGTAGTACGTTATAGTATATTCGCCATACAGTACAGTAGAAATGTAGTATCAAGCATCTCACACAGTTTGAGAGCCGGTAATATGCTCATACCAAAGTATGATAGCATGTAACAAGTTCACAGCAAGTAACTACTCATAGCAAGTAGCATAGCAAGTAAATACAAGCACTACAAATGCAGTATCACACCGTGCCCTAGAATGTGACATGGTACAATTTAGAACATGCTTTAAACCAACACAGGCTACTTTCATCTAGTAGCATGTTGGAACATAGTGTGATGAAACAGGACACCATGTAATCACACATTCTGAGAATTATGTTATCCTACAAAAGACAGCATCATACGACACCAACACAATATCTAACATTGGAAGACCGCATGGTAATTAATTCGGGGAAAAAAGATAATATGGTGCAACATGGGGGTATAACATAACTTGATATGAAATGAAACCATGAACTGAAGACACGTATGATACAGCATTGATTCTGCACACTATAAGACAGGCATTTATTGCATGGCTTTCTATAGTTCGGTATATCGTGTCATTTTGCACTATGTTGTGAAAAGGTGTCATGCTGCATGATGTGAGGTTGTATTGCTTGAATTTCTGTTGTTTTACTTGTTGAGTTCTCCTTTTGCAACGGCTGGGCTTGTATTTATGCACGGTCTTTACCGGGGTTTGGGTTTGGAAGCATAGAAGGGGGTCTTTCTGCGCAGGGTGTTGGCTGATTTTGTGTTTCAGTGCACAGGGTCAGTACACTGTTAATTTTGCTGGGCCGGCTCCAGTTTTGGAGTTTAGGATCAAATTTGGGTTTCCACGATTGGGGGGCCTTTTGCGTGCAGGGCCCGTCCGGGCTCGATATTCTCGGGTTCGATTTTGTAGACGGCTTTGGAGGTTTGGCACCTGTTTCGACTGAGTATCTAAGGCTCACACGGGATTTTGTTTCAGGGCTACGCGCAGTTCGCAGCTTTTTGGGTAGGAGTTAGTGCGCGGCATGAGCGGGCGGGCATGTGGGATTAGGATGGTACAGAGCTGGTCCAGGAGCTGGCAGGTCTGTTGGTGTAGGCTTTCCGGATGATCGTGGTGCCTATCGCAAAAACACCCTGCATTCCGGGAACGGGTCCCGAGAGGCCTAGCGGCACAAGGAGCCAATATAACAGAGTCCGAACACCCGCCAAGCATACATACATACATACATACATATGTACAGGCGAACGTGCGTTACAAACAAACGTAAATTTGAACATGCATAAATACATGCATGCGTACATGCCTGCATACGTACGTGCATACACATACATACCTAGACAGTTAAACAGACATACATACACAATATACACCCATGTACATAGATACTTACACATGTATAATATACGTATACACGGGTATGTGGTGAAAAATATAGGTGAAGAGTGTTTAAGAACCGCCGAATAATATATATATATATATATATATATATATGTATTTATGAATGAATGTCTTCGTATATAGAACTTTTGCATATGTATACATGTGTGTATATGTATACACATGCGTGGGTGTGTGCGTGTGTATGTGTGTATGCGTGTGTGTATGTATATATGTATATATGTATATATGTATATATGTATATATATATATATGTATATATGTATATACATGTATGTATCTATGTATTAATGTGTTTATGCATATATGTATTTATGTACTTATGTATACATGTGTGTGTACATATATGTATATATACGTCCATGCATACATACATAAATATGACAAGCCTCGGTGCGCGTATGATCGTTTATACGAAGCCTCCACTCCTGGCCATCTCGCACTCACTGTAAGATTTCCTGCAAGCTGCACACGTCTGCATACAAGCAACCAAGGTGCATTTCACGCATTCACGTGTGTGTGTGTGTGTGTTGGGATTATGGCGGTATGTGCCTTTAGATTGGCAAGCTCCCAGCAATAAGGACCCTCAAAAGCAACAGGCAGTTTAAATGTGCTGGATCGGCAACATTTCAATTCGCAATGAAGATCTCACGACTGTCCCAGCTGTGCTCTGCTGCATGCCTAGGGCCTAGTGTTTCTTCCTGCATGCCAGGAGCTGTGCAACAAGTGGAAGAATGGTCAAGACTGCGTGCTCGGAAGAGCTTGTTCTGGACTAAGTTCCTACGCCTGCTGCCGCCGGAAGGATGTCTTGGGAAGCACCTGTCACTTCTACACTAGTAGTCTTTTGGCTGTAACAGGTATTTATCATCGGTCTGTCGTTCCCAGACTGTGAGCTTGTCTGCCGAACCAAGGTCCCTATGCTCACGGAGAGAAAGAGCTGGGAACTGTGGAGCTTGTGGTCGCAGCCTCAACATGCTGTGTTCAAGTGAGAAGAGGCTGGATTTCGATCAAGCAATTGCTTCCCATGCTCTGTTAGCAAACGTCGCCACCTGAGGTCTGTGGGCGCGTGAAGACAAGAATCTGCAAGTTCTGGACGGCATCGCACTCAGACAGCAGCAGATTCTTTCGCGATGTGCTTGCATGTACCTCCGGGACTTGTAATTCCTGCACATGAGAACCAGCCGAGATTCATCATCCCGATTCATCCGTTGATTTGATACCGATGACTCTGATGACTGTTGCCTGCAGACGGGAAGCTGCATGTTCCTCGGCAATTGCGTCAACGCGCATGGCGAGAAGGAGCTCGGCACGAAGAGGCTGGAAGTTGGCGCATTCTTAGAGGCATTCCCGTGCTGTTCTTTAATACACGCGAAATGATGTCACGGGGTCATCAGCATAGGGACATTCCGAAGGCGCAGTCGGGCTGAGAGCTCTTGCAAGAGTGCGTCGCATCGCTTGGCCAGGCCTGACTTCATGACGCCTCCCATGAAGAAACGCAGGGAAGGAGAGCTGGAAGCTCAGCCTTTCCTTCCGAAACGTTGCGCCGCTTCCGGGCTCTGTAAGGTCCATTGACGAGTTCCGAGAACAAGTCATCGCCAAAAAGGGCGGCAAGGGAAAGGGAAGGCGATTGGTCAATAGCTGAAGGGCTCTCTCTAATGAGCATGCTGACGAAATTCTCTTCATGCCTGTGCAGGGGGCTGGGCAACCACTGAGAGGGTTTTGCGACCGCGTAGAGAGCTTTCTCCGACTGGAGGGCATTCTGGCAAATTACGCCCAGGTGCCCACCACGGATGCGGAAATCTACTTAGGCGGTCACTAGCCAGATGTCTCAACAGCCATTTGAAGGCATTGCCTGGGAAACTACTGGTAGCAGAAACTCGTCAAACCAAAATAACGCTCTGCTTGAAGCCTTGGCAGCAGCACACGGTCAGAGCATCGGCTCCGAAAAAAATGAAGTCATCGTCCATTCTAGGCTTTAGCAAGAACATGAGACTCCCAAAGCACTCTTCTCACGTGGTTTCGGCAAGCTGTTTTCTAGATGATTGCGATATGAGGTCGTGTGTCTTCTGCCGCTTGCTGCTGCGAATACTTGTAACACGTGAGCTTGGACTCATACAGGACACTCCTAAAAGATCCTGAATCAGGATTGCTCCGGCACCGGTAGACTTGCATCCTGCGCGTGGCATCAAACAACTCAGAGACATTGGATTTTGGCACTGCGTGCACACTGATTCTGGCATGGAAGCCTGCAGCGAGATTTGTAGAGAGAGGCCACGCAGCTGCGATGGATGGTCAGTTCCATAGTTTCATCGCTGGGCTCGCAGCTCAAGCCTTGGCAGGAGGTGAGCATCGGCCATAGGAAGGCCTAAGGCAAAGGTAGAAAGGCCGCTTTCGGCCCACCTCCGAGAAGCGAGATTCGGCTTCGAAGGGAACACCACAAAGGTGAAGAGAAGAGCGATGCGCAACGTGCAATGGAGCGGTACTGTAGGCTACCGCCAAGGGCCTCAAAGCTACAGACACCCCTCCGTATCCATAGAGCTTTGCGCTGGTGCGGGTCTCACCAACGTCGGATGCTGGAAAGCCCCGCGGTGAGGGGGCGCTTTTGGGAGCGCGGAAGAATAAAGTGTTGGTGCTTTGCGGCTCGAAGCAGCTTGGGCGGAGGTGTTAAGGCCTGGGTCGGTGGGGATGATCTGACGTGCGCATCTGAAGACGCCGATAGTTGGACAAAAACCCCCAATCCTAAACCCGAAATCCTGCAGCCCAACGAGTCGTGGCTTTCTGGGCAGGCCTGGAGTCGGTGACCCCGGTGGCGAGAAGCCCTTGTCTCGAGAGGCCTGCGGTCCGGAGCGGCTACAACAGGCGTAGGTGTAGACATCAATAGCAAGTGACAGTGCACATCGAGAGAATATGATAAAAACTAATGGATGACGAGAGTGGTGGTGGTAAAGGCATCTACAGCATGAATGCGAATAAGGGAGACAACACTGCGAGTAGTAACGATTAAGATTCAGAATGACAGTCGTAAATGTTGAGAGGACAAGCGCTGCTGAGAAGCCCCCAGGGGTCCAAGTGTTCCAGCATCTTCGCAAAAATTCGGCTGAATGCAACTCACATTGCCAAAGCCACCTACGACACGCTTCCACAATGAGAAGAAACACTATTTAGGGGCTGCGCCCAGGTGCGGGCAGCGCGAGCTGTTGTCAGAAACCCGCGGTATATAGATAAGTGCAACGTAGGCCCGAAGTGCGCAACTTGTGGGTGATCGTAGGCTCTCAGCCCCCGTCGGCCCTGCATGTAGCCCGCACCCCCCGTCCGCCGGACCCCGCTGATGCTCATGATGCGCGCCCTTTGGCGGCTTCCGCAACCCACTCAAAAACTTGGGAGTTATGACTTCGCGCCCACGTCGCGCCGCCGGCGCCGGTTGCGGGCGCCCGAGGGCTCATGATGCTCGCCGGCTCGCCTCCTGGGGTCGTCCACGGCGGCCCCGAAACCCGCCACACCGCGGGGAATGGCTGCAAAACGCGTGCGCGTTCCGAGACGCCTTCGGGCCAGGCCCCGCACGGCCCGAGGGAGAAACGAGGGTCCGATGATGCGGGGTCCGGGGCGGGTCGGCGGCACTGTCGGTCGTGGCTTCTGCTTCGCAGACGAAGCCCATTCGTCTGAGCCATAGCTCAGTCCATACAGGGCAGCGAAGCGCTGCCCGATTTATGGGCTGCCGCCACTGCCGCCGACCCCAAAACCAGAGAGGTGACTATCCAAGGAACGCAGCAGGTGTTGAAAGCAGCCAAGTGCAAGTCTTGTAACTGGCACGAGTCGAGTACTAGTACTAGGACTAGTACTAGTAAGACGTGTAGTACGGCACGAACGAACCTCTTATCGGAATCCGAATGCCTCCGGCATATCACAGGACACCGAAAAACATTCCCCATGTAGACGCCTGATCCCGGAAACACCCGCTCGAGACATACATCAGTGATCGTCAGCACCATCGCAGCACACCAGAACCATTCCCCTGACAGAACACTGGGATGGTGGCAGTGGTGGAGGTGGTGGGGGCGGTGAGGGCAGTGTGGGCGGTGGGGGCGGTGGGGGCGGTGTGGGCGCGCGGGGGTCCGGGCACACATTGGCAGCCTTTAAATACTCTTTAAACACCTATACAAATACAGCGGTTAACTCTTTTGACAGAACACTGGGGGTGGTGGCAGTGGTGGAGGTGGTGGGGGTGGTGAGGGCGCTGAGGGCGGTGGGGGCGGTGGGGGCGGTGTGGGCGAGAAAAGTGGGGGTGGTGGCAGTGGTGGAGATGGTGGGGGTGGTGAGGGCGGTGTGGGCGGTGGGGGCGGTGTGGGCGGTGGGGGCGCGGGGTCCGGGCACACATTGGCAGCCTTTATATACTCTTTAAACACCTATACAAATACAGCGGTTAACTCCCCTCACAGAACACTGTGGGGGTGGTGGCAGTGGTGGAGGTGGTAGGGGTGGTGAGGGCGGTGAGGGCGGTGTGGGCGGTGGGGGCGGTGGGGGCGGTGTGGGCGCGGGGAGGTCCGGGCACACATTGGCAGCCTTTAAATACTCTTTAAACACCTATACAAATACAGCGGTTAACTCTTTTGACAGAACACTGGGGGTGGTGGGGGTGGTGGGGGTGGTGAGGGCGGTGAGGGCGGTGTGGGCAATGGGGGCGGTGGGGGTGGTGGGGGCGGTGGAGGTGTGGGCAGCCTTTAAATACTCTTTAAACACCTATACAAATACAGCGGTTAACTCCCCTGACAGAACACTGGGGGTGGTGGCAGTGGTGGAGGTGGTGGGGGTGGTGTGGGCGGTGAGGGCGGTGTGGGCGGTGGGGCTGGTGTGGGCGGTGTGGGCGGTGGGGGCGCGGGGGCGGCACACATTGGCAGCCTTTAAATACTCTTTAAACACCTATACAAATACAGCGGTTAACTCTTTTGACAGAACACTGGGGGTGGTGGCAGTGGTGGAGGTGGTGGGGGTGGTGAGGGCGGTGAGGGCGGTGAGGGCGGTGTGGGCGGTGGGGCTGGTGGGGGCGGTGTGGGCGGTGGGGGCGCGGGGGCGTCCGCGCACACATTGGCAGCCTTTAAATACACTTTAAACACCTATACAAATACAGCGGTTAACTCTTTTGACAGAACACCGGGGGTGGTGGCAGTGGTGGGGGTGGTGAGGGCGGTGAGGGCGGTGAGGGCGGTGGGGGCGGTGGCATTGGCAGCCTTCAAATACTCTTTAAACACCTATACAAATACAGCGGTTAACTCCCCTGACACAACACTGGGGGTGGTGGCAGTGGTGGAGGTGGTGGGGGTGGTGAGGGCGGTGAGAGCGGTATGGGCGGTGGGGGCGGTGGGGGGGGCGGTGGTGGCGCGGGGGGGTCCGGGCACACATTGGCAGCCTTTAAATACTCTTTAAACACCTATACAAATACAGCGGTTAACTCCCCTGACAGAACACTGGGGGTGGTGGCAGTGGTGGAAGTGGTGGGGGTGGTGAGGGCGGTGAGGGCGGTGTGGGCGGTGGGGGCGGTGGGGGCGGTGTGGGCGGTGTGGGCGGGGTCCGGGCACACATTGGCAGCCTTTAAATATTTTTTAAACTGCGGTTAACTCCCCTGACAGAACACTGGGATGGTGGCAGTGGTGGAGGTGGTGGGGGTGGTGAGGGCGGTGAGGGCGGTGAGGGCGGTGTGGGCGGTGTGGGCGGTGGGCGGTGGGGGCGGTGTGGGCGCGGGGGGGTCCGGGCACACATTGGCAGCCTTGAAAAATTATAAACACCTATACAAATACAGCGGGGTGGTGAGGGCGGTGAGGGTGGCAGTGGTGGAAGTGGTGGGGGTGGTGAGGGCGGTGAGGGCGGTGTGGGCGGTGTGGGCGGTGTGGGCGGTGGGGGCGGTGGGGGTGGTGTGGGCGGTGTGGGCGGTGTGGGCGCGGGGGGGTCCGGGCACACATTGGCAGCCTTTAATTACTCTTTAAACACCTATACAAATAGAGCGGTTAACTCCCCTGACAGAACACTGGGATGGTGGCAGTGGTGGAGGTGGTGGGGGTGGTGAGGGCGGGGAGGGCGGTGAGGGCGGTGTGGGCGGTGGGGGCGGTGGGGGCGGTGGGGGCGGTGTGGGAGCGGGGGGGTCCGGGCACACATTGGCAGCCTTTAAATATTATAAACACCTATACAAATACCAGCGCTTAACTCCCCTGACAGAACACTGGGGGTGGTGGCAGTGGTGGAAGTGGTGGGGGTGGTGAGGGCGGTGTGGGCGGTGGGGGCGGTGGGGGCGGTGTGGGCGGTGTGGGCGCGGGGGGGTCCGGGCACACATTGGCAGCCTGTAAATATTCTTTAAACACCTATACAAATACAGCGGTTAACTCCCCTGACAGAACACTGGGATGGTGGCAGTGGTGGAGGTGGGGGTGGTGAGGGCGGTGAGGGCGGTGTGGGCGGTGGGCGGTGGGGGCGGTGGGGGCGGTGTGGGCGCGGGGGGGTCCGGCTTTAAACACCTATACAAATACAGCGGTTAACTCCCCTGACAGAACACTGGGGGTGGTGGCAGTGGTGGAGGTGGTGGGGGTGGTGAGGGCAGTGAGGGTGGCAGTGGTGGAAGTGGTGGGGGTGGTGAGGGCGGTGAGGGCGGTGTGGGCGGTGTGGGCGGTGGGGGCGGTGGGGGCGGTGTGGGCGGTGTGGGCGCGGGGGGGTCCGGGCACGCATTGGCAGCCTTTAAATACTCTTTAAACACCTATACAAATACAGCGGTTAACTCCCCTGACAGAACACTGGGATGGTGGCAGTGGTGGAGGTGGTGGGGGTGGTGAGGGCGGTGAGGGCGGTGAGTGGGGGCGGTGGCGGCGGTGGGGGCGGTGTGGGCGCGGGGGGGTCCGGGCACACATTGGCAGCCTTTAAATACTATTTAAACACCTATACAAATACAGCGGTTAACTCCCCTGACAGAACACTGGGGGTGGTGGCAGTGGTGGGTGAGGGTGGCAGTGGTGGAAGTGGTGGGGGTGGTGAGGGCGGTGAGGGCGGTGTGGGCGGTGTGGGCAATGGGGGCTGTGGGGGTGGTGGGGGCGGTGGAGGTGTGGGCAGCCTTTAAATACTCTTTAAACACCTATACAAATACAGCGGTTAACTCCCCTGACAGAACACTGGGATGGTGGCAGTGGTGGAGGTGGTGGGGGTGGTGAGGGCGGGGAGGGCGGTGAGGGCGGTGTGGGCGGTGGGGGCGGTGGGGGCGGTGTGGGAGCGGGGGGGTCCGGGCACACATTGGCAGCCTTTAAATACTCTTTAAACACCTATACAAATACAGCGGTTAACTGGTGGCAGTGGTGGAAGTGGTGGGGGTGGTGAGGGCGGTGAGGGCGGTGTGGGCGGTGGGGGCGGTGGGGGCGGTGTGGGCGGTGGCGGGGGTCCGGGCACACATTGGCAGCCTTTAAATACTCTTTAAACACCTATACAAATACAGCGGTTAACTCCCCTGACAGAACACTGGGGGTGGTGGCAGTGGTGGAGGTGGTGGGGGTGGTGAGGGCGGTGAGGGCGGTGTGGGCGGTGGGGGCGGTGGGGGCGGTGTGGTCGCGGGGGGGTCCGCGCACACATTGGCAGCCTTTAAATACTCTTTAAACACCTATACAAATACAGCGGTTAACTCCCCTGACAGAACACTGGGGGTGCTGGCAGTGGTGGAGGTGGTGGGGGTGGTGAGGGCGGTGAGGGCGGTGTGGGCGGGGGGCGGTCTGGGTTCGGGAGGATCAAGCGGTGAGGGCAGTGAGGGCGGTGAGGGCGGTGAGGGCGGTGAGGGCGGTGGGGGCGGTGGGGGCGGTGGGGGCTCGGGCGGGTCCGGGCATACTTGGGCAGCCTTTAAATACTCTTTAAACACCTACAAATACAGCGGTGAAAGACTCTTTGATCAGAGCGGTGGAGGCGGTGGAAGCGGTGTGGGTGCGGACACCTCTCGGGATATCACGGGCGCCGCCCGCAGGGGTCGGCGGATAATGCGAACATGTTGCTGGTGATGCCGCTGCAGGTAGCCACCGCGTCTCGGGCAAACTCGGCAAGCCCACGTTTTTCGTTGTGGCCCCGGTGACCGGCAACGATGAGAAGCCTTTCACATCAACGTTCGACTCAGGCCCCTTCGCTTCGGTGCCTCCATCGTGCGGCAGCAGCGGGCAACGTCCCAAGAGCAGATTGTTGGCGAATATTCTCCAGTTCCTTCTCGCTTTACTACGTTGCTCCAACGAGCCTCTCTCTTCCTTTCAGAAGCGGACTTGTAGACTGAACCCGCGAGGGGACCGGTGGCAGCTACTACGACGGCTCGCGGCAATGGGCCCAGCAATTCTCGCGACAGAACGTAAGTCTGGCATCTGCGGTCCAGAAGCCATAACTCCATACTGGCTTCCAAGTCCTGGTGTTAGTGATGAGTGATGAGCGGCCTGCCCGGGTTCAGAATTCGTAAAGTCGTCGAGGCACCGGGCCGGGGAACGAAGTCAGCCACAGAGCGCCAAGGCCGCACACTGCCGAACCCACCGAGTCGGGCAAGAAGCTCAGGGGTCGGAGTTCTGAAGCCTCGACGCCTCTCGCCACTCTTTCCTGCGTCTGATGTGTATGCTCCGGTGACAGTCCACGAATTGCAATGGTTTGGAGCCATGTCCCGAAGCTCAGGCAGCAGAGGCCAGCAGAACTCCAACTCTTTGCAGTCCTACTCCTCGCAGCTGAGACCACAGACGGCGAAGGTGCAGCGCAGAGACGGGCTGGCTGAGTCTACGAGTAGCTGCCATCAGTGAGGGTGTAAATCAGTCCCACGCCCTGAGCGTCTCCTTGTCTGCATCTCTCTTTATCTCTCCTCTTTCCACGACCTCCTCTGCTCGGCGAGGCTTCCGGCTCTCGGCAGAGCTCCAAGTCTGGCGTTTCTTCAGGCACAGCACGAGCTCTGCGTCCTAACGAGCTTCCATCATCGCTGTGAGAGTTTCTGCTTGACCCCCCATCCGTATCCATCTGTTCGTCTGCCTGCCTGCCGGTCTATCCGTCCAGCCGTCCTTGTTTGGATTGAGCTTTCCATTTACCCATCTGTCTGTTTGTTTCCCCTGAGTTTTTGTGTACAAAGCATAGGCAATCATGCACTCGGATAGAGACATCGGTACCTCTGTTGTTGGCCGGTGAACGCTGCTAGCGTTTTACTTTGGGTGCTTGGTGCCTGTGTTCGTGGAAACACGAGGTGGGCAACGATCTTTGGACTCACGAGAGCCGGTCTCAGTTGCTGGCTTCTGCTCTTCAGACATCGTGGTCTGAGCACTGAGCACCGCATGCAAAACCCGTGTGGGAAATCCTTCTTGGCTCCCGAAAAAACTGCGCAGCTCTTCCCAATGCTTTGCCCACCCAGAGCCTCTGTTTCGGGTGGCCTGCATCCCCTACGCCAAGGCGTACGTCGAGCCACCGCCCATCGAGCTTATCCCACCCTATGTGCCGATCAGCAGCGCGGCATAGCGACGCCTGCCCAATGATCGCAGACCGCGGCTTTCTTCCACACGAAACCCCGAAGAGTGGTTCTTTGATGCGTAGTCTGTGGGTTGAGAATGAGAGTTGGATGCAAGGTGTCCGCGGATCTGTTCTGTCGAAATGGCGCTGCTTTTTTCTGCGTGGTCATCCAAGAAGGATCAAGAAGGCTATTTTTAAACACGCAAGCTTGCCCACGCCTCTTTAAGAGTGGAGTGGGAGAGTGTGAGGTTTCACTCGGCGTGAGGCCGCTTGATATCCTGCGCGGCTAGGAACACTCTGTTTGAACAATCTTGCTCTTGCAGGCAGTAATTAGCAAAACTGCTGTGGTGATGGTCCAATATGGTCCAAGTGGGAGTTTTCGCGGGTCAGCTCTGCTAGCAAACGGCCCATCGAGTTGTCGAAATGGACCATCATCCCAATGCGTTCACTGGCACTTTGGAAGACACACATACCAAGACAGGGCTGTTGACATTTAGTCAGCCCTATCTATGCTTGATCCACGTTTACGGACAAACTGATATTATCACTAAGCTTAAATCTTGCTACATCCGATTGAAAGTTGGCTACGTGTAGCACGAGCATGCACGAGCTAGCTGATGCATTCGCTTCGACATTTGTCGCTGTTTCCCATGGTAGCCGCTTTGACAGTGTCTGTGTGTGTGTGTGGATCTTGCCGAAACTTCTATCGGAGTTTCGGTCCTATACCAAAGCCAGAGACTCTCAGGCACTTGACCATGCGGCAAAGCTGCATTGGAGACCATCAACTAGAATAACTAGAATCTGACTAGAAGGAAAGCGGCGGTGAAAAGGCTGATGCTGGCCCGTGAGGTCTCCAGGACAAGCTTCCTGGAACTCCTGACACGGGGGAGATGTTCAAAGAATTTGCGCAGGTGGCCCGGCTACGGGGGCGCGAGGCAACGCTGGTGCAACAGCTCCAGCAGGCCGAGCGGCGGCCGCGGATGGGTGCAAGATGTCTAAGAGCCGGGTGTCTGTTGGCGCGTCTCAGGCCATTGTCCCGCTCCCCGCAGAAGTTCCACCGCCCGAGCTGAAGAAGCAAGGCGCCGCGGGGCCCTGGCCCTGCGCAGTGCATCGGGAATCGGGCAGCTCGAGAGAGGCTGTAGCTATCTAAGTCTCTAAGGAAGATATGCGCGTGCCGCTTCGTGATCTTGTGCGGACCAATGTGCATTGTGGCTCGAGCCTACGCGCCCTGTGCCCTGCGAAGCCACCGGTGCCGCGGTAGGGTTCCTAGATTTGCTCGGACAACTCTCTAGTGTCGGCAGCATCTTCCGGATGCTGTGAGTTTGCACGAGCCGAGCAAGCCGCAGCTCCAGGTCCTGACCGTGCGCATGCGTGGCTGTGGCGGCTGACTCGCTTGTGCTTCAAACAGCTGACTCATGCCGCTGAGCATCAGAAGGATCTGTTGAGTTTGCTGCGATCTCGGATGTTTCTGATCTGTCATATTTGTACTTCTAAGTACTCAGCACGCAACCGTCCATGCCAGGCTGGGGGGGCCCAGGCTCGTCAGAGCTTGAACGGGATGTAAGGCTTCATGTCGTCCCGCTCCAGGTTGAGGTCAAGCTTGCCTGTTTCCGTAGGCCAGCCGCTCGGATTGCGCGTTGGCAGGTGCGGGAGAGGCTGAGTACTCCAATGAAGTCAAGTGAGCTGGTGCCCAAGACTGAAAGACGGAAGATATCAGAAGGACGTTTGGATCAACAACGCCTCAGAGAAAGTGCGGCGAGCCTCCAAGGCCACCTCCAGACGGTCCAAGGCCAGAAGCCGGAGCCGAGGTACCCCGGGGTTTGCGTGGAATCCGTGCTAAGTCTGCAAAGTCCCCCAGACGCAGAGTCCCCCAACCCCCAAGCTTTGGAGCTTCGTCAGGAGGTGGGCGATGCACCGCAGGCCTGCGACATCGACTGAAGTGTGGATTCCTGTGCTGAACAGCATACAGCATCTGCTGGATTTGCTCACGACAGGGTTTGTAGCGGAGCAGATCCTAGCAGGGGGTGTCGACGGAGTTGAAGGCGCACGAGCGGATTAGCCGCATCCTGGACATTGTGAACGGGAGCTCCAAGGTGGCTGCCAATTGATGTGACTGCATGCCTCCCCGAAGCATCCTGAAGCCTTCCCCTCAATTCAAGTTTCCGTGCCCCGTAGCCAAGCAAGCTCAGAAATCTAGACTAGCCCCGCCCCGATGTGAGGGGTAGGAGAACTCAGGTGCAGAAAGCGCCGTCGACTGGGCGGAAGAAGGCAACATGTTCTGTTGTATGTTTATTCTGAGAGTTGTGTGGTGACTTGCTTGTATTGTAGTGGGTAGCGCTCTTTAGCGGAAGCGCCGGCTAACGGTACAAAATTGAAAGTGCACCAGTTAAAAGACAAGCCCGTGCAAACATGAAGCAACACGTATTATACACTTACCTTTGGATGTGTGTAAGTTAAGCCATTCCCATAGTAAAGTCTTCAATCGTAGACAAAGAGCATAGTGCCGCACACGATCACGGACGAAGACGATCAATGAAGTGGTCTTGTTATAATAACGTCTGGAAGCAGAGATTACTGTAGTACCCAGTCGTGCACACGACGAAAGGATGTAAAAACTCTATCATGTTTGCTAATGTGCAAGTAAGTTGTATGCATATGTAATCACATCGCAGGAGTACGTATGTATCTGTCAAGCTATCAATTTAATGATTAGACCCACTGAATTTCATGTTTTGTTGCACTTGTTCAACGGTTAGAAAAAGCCCAGCAAGATGAAATTTCGTTTGACGAATTGTACGATGCTGCTGGGCGGAAATAAACCAAGGCTGAACTAAGCGAACTTCTGGACGTCTTAAAGACTCCTTTGCTGTGCTAGTCTTGGTCCTGTGATAGATTGATTGAGTGATTGATTGAGGCTGTTTGGATAGCGGAAGACGGTTGAATGGTACATACTGGTACTAAATTTCACACACTGTGTGTCTGTCCACCGTGTGTCTGTCTGTCTGTCTGTCCGTCCGCCTCCGTTGGTCTGGCTGTCTGTCTGCAGGATTCTTTGGCGTGTCTGCACAGTAGGACTTGCAAGCATATGCGTATGCGTGTGGATGCCCTATCCGACATATCCATCTGTCTGTCTGTCTGTCTGTCGGTTGTCTGTCTGTCTGTCTGTCTGTCTGTCTGTCTGTCTGTCCGTCCGTCCGTCCGTCCGTCCGTCTGTCTGTCTGTCTCTCTCTCTCTCTCTGCGTTTCTCTATGTGTATCTACCCGTCTACCCATCTACCTGTCGATCGACATATGCATGCATGCATGCATGTACCCATCTATCTACAAATCTACATCTCTGCATCTCTACATACATGCTTATTTGGAGGGGGGGTAGCAGGCACAAATCTTGTGGGCAGTGGCTCAAGCCCACGAGCACAGACAGAAGTTTGCCACAGTTTTCCAGTTCGTCAGAATTTGAGATGCTCCTGCTGCAGCGCCAGTTTCAAAACTATGTAGCAGATTGCACCGTGCAACACGGGGGGTGCAGTCCAGCATGCCCACCTTTCCATCGGGGTTGACCTTTTGCACGTCGAGAAGCCTCGCCTGCAACACTGAAGCACACCGTGTAGGTAGACAGTTCTTAATGCCATGTCTATAAACAAACAACCGTGATAGCCAACATGATCAGGGTCAAAACAACACCAACAGCATCACATGTGTCGGGGTGTCGCCAGATTCGCCAGTGACCACGGAGCACTCGACATAGCAACGTGCTGCCTGCCAGGCACAGAGCAAACAGCACGGAGCGCGACTGAGAGTTCGTTTTCTCCTTCGCGGCCCATGCTCTGCATCTTATGAACTACATATGATGTCTATTCAATGCTACTGAGGCAAATCTCGCAAGGAGGAGAACGTGCCTTCTGAAGGAGGCGGGGCAACTGAGGCTCAAACTGGGCCAACTGGCGTACAGTGCATCATGGCGCAAAATTTGGATCGTAGATTCGCTCTCTCCAGATTGCAAGGAAGCACAGGCGGTCAATCTTGAGAGGTCCTCAGCCAGTCTCAGAGTCCGAGCCTTTCGGTTAGGCCCAGCACCGGCCAAGAGCACGGAGAAAGGCCAAGGCAGAGCAGCGCAGAGCCGTAGCAGCGACCATGTAGTAGCATGGATCAGTGAAGCAGGAAAGGGCAAAATCGCCGGCCTTCCGCCTGACAAAGGCCGTTTATGGGCTTCCCGGATTGTTCCTCCGTCGTGTTCAGATTTCCTTGATAAGGAGAGCGAACTGTTAGCATTTGAAGCTCTCGAAGCCTCCTGCCAGTGGATGATTTCAGGTCCGGCAAAGGCGAATCTCAATCTCAGTCTCAATCTCTCTCTCTCTGTCTCTCTGTCTCTCTGTCTCTCTGTCTCTCTGTCTCTCTGTCCCTCTGTCTCTCTGTCCCTCTGTCTCTCTGTCTCTCTGTCTCTCTGTCTCTCTGTCTCTCTGTCTCTCTGTCTCTCTGTCTCTCTGTCTCTCTGTCTCTCTGTCTGTGTCTGTCTGTGTCTGTCTGTGTCTGTCTGTGTCTGTCTGTGTCTGTCTGTGTCTGTCTGTGTCTGTCTGTGTCTGTCTGTGTCTGTCTGTGTCTGTCTGTGTCTGTCTGTGTCTGTCTGTGTCTGTCTGTGTCTGTCTGTGTCTGTCTGTGTCTGTCTGTGTCTGTCTGTGTCTGTCTGTGTCTGTCTCTGTCTGTCTGTGTCTGTCTGTGTCTGTCTCTGTCTGTCTCTGTCTGTCTCTGTCTGTCTCTGTCTGTCTCTGTCTGTCTCTGTCGCTGTCTCTGTCTCTGTCTCTGTCTGTGTGTCTGTCTGTGTGTCTGTCTGTCTGTCTGTCTGTCTGTCTGTCTGTCTGTCTGTCTGTCTCTCTCTCTCTGTGTCTCTGTGGACAGGCGGCAACAGTGCAGTTTTGCAGATCAGAGGCAGCCAGCTAAGTTGTGGAAACTACAGAACGGCCTTTTTTTCAGGGCAGCTGAGGGCCTCCGTCTAATGAATCTACTCCCGTCGCTGCACGACAAATCAAGCAATCCGAATCCTCTGACGCCTGCATGAACTAGCGCACTAAGGCAAATCAGAGGGCGCGCAGCCTTCAGACGGTGACGGTGCCAGCAACATGTTGACTGGTCCACTTATGTGCCCTTGTTCTGACGGGGACGTCAGGGTCAACCTATTGGCTTGCAAGGTGAACACAGCCTGTGTTATTTCGGACAAGTAAATGTTCAAGGGTCTTGGCTTTCGGACTTCAGGGCGAGCTTGCTCCTCCTGTCTTCTTTGGGAAGAGTTTTGTCGCTTTTGCGGTGGGTGCATCGTCCCTGTGCAGTCTTCCTGGGGTGCCTGTTACACCGAACAGCTTCGAATGGGGAACATTCTGGTCTGGCTCGTCTCCATCGTTCTATCAAACATACCGTTGTGCTGGCAGTAATTAGGCCACTTCGAGGTGAGCACACGCACTTTTTGGGCGAAGCCAAAGGATTGTTCGACCAATCGTCCTTCCCTTGTGCTGCCAGGCAAGGGAAAGGTGTGGATCAAGAAGAGTGCCATTGTGAAGGCGCCGGGGCCACTTCGGCATTTCTTTATGTGTTGTAGCATCTGCATTCCAGCCACGCATGAAGACATGCTGAACATGTTTCTGATTTAAAGCTGATCCCACATGCGGCCAGGAGGAGAGCAACGGGAGGTCCACCGCTTGCGGTCCTTGTGCATCGTGGCATCACTTCGCGGTACTTTCGTTACAGTTGCAGCTTTCGCAGGACGGGCCTGAGTGCCCACGCCAAGGAGTTCACTCCCTTCGCAACAGAGCTCAAGCCAAGCAGCGGGGTGCTGAGGGCAGAACACGACTTTTCTCTGTTGATGTATGGTCTGCACAGTTCAGTTCTTGGTGCTTGGAAGGATCAGCCATCAACGCCGAAGCGCCGGCATTTGTGCCCTGGCTGGCTTGGTTGCCAAGGGACCTGTGACTACTCGTAAGGTTTCGGGGTTCTGGATCGACAAGGGGGGCACCAGAAACACCTTGTCGGAGGTACCTCAGCTTGAGGTCTCCAAGTATCCCAACGAAGCGCCGGACCTCTACATGGAGGCCAGGATTCAAGAGTCTAAGAGGCTCTTGGTTACTTCTGTGCGACCGACTGGGAGGCAGAGGCTGTCTTCGGATATCCGGAGCATGGCGAACATTTCGACCACTTCCAGGATCCAGGCCTGACGCGAAAGCCCTTCTTCCCATGGAGCAATCCCCGGATGCACAAATTTGACTAGCACGTACCTGAACGCCAAGTCATAACAGAGGGGATTGCATGATGCATAGCCCAGCTTTCATCAGTCCTTGCTACTGGAGCGAGGATGGTCCCATCCGGTCTTTTGGCCCAGCCAACCGCCTCAGCTTTCGATTCGGCCTGGCAAATCTCCACGCACAGACACCTGCGGACCATGCAGAGCCGTGCAAGGTGACAGCCAGGTGCCCAGTGCCGATTCGGACTTTCCGGAGGCACATCTGAACCAGCTCTGGGTGTGAATTCACTTGCGATACAGCATCCTGCGAGTGCATCTGCGGATGGAGGTCGTCCCTGGAGCGCGGGAGGGCGAGTTCGTTGGGCCTGGCCCCAACTGAGACAAGACTCGACCTCGTGTTAGAGAACTCCATGAGGACCTAAGCTTCCAAGTGTTCCAACATGTCAAAAACTAGTAATTACTTTTGCAGTTCACGCTTGTGTCTACATACCTGTAACTTGTAGTTTCAAGATTCCTGGTTCAAGGCTTCAGAGCATCGCCGAGATGGGCGAATGGGTCGTCTTCCGCGAGAAGAGGCCGAAAGCCAGGCTCGAAAGTCTCTCGACCGTTCAGCCTCAAAGCCAGCAATTTGCTGCTGACTTCTTGGGCTCAGAGGCCTTTCTTCTGGAACATGTCCACCGGCGAGAAGTCCTGGGAAGCCCCTGTGATCCTGCAGGCACCTTTGTGTGGCCCTCTCCTGCTTGAGGGCCGGAGGGTGTTTTCGAGTCGCGCTTCTCAGTGCTGCGAGGAGCTTGGGGTGGCAGACACACTGCTGAAGTGGTCGGAGGATCCTTGGACAGATTTCGTCAAGTCCGACAGTCGTCTATGTGTGTCACTGTCATATCTGTCCCTGGGACGCAGGTTGAAACTCACCCGTCACAACATCAGCTGTTGTCTCTTGAACGACCAGCCCGTCCTCGCAGCATCGATGGCTGTTTTCGTTGTTTGCACAGCCGGCATGTGGGATGTGGCGGAAGCGGGGATACAAAGCTCCATATACTGCATTAGATGCAGCACCAATGCCTGCTTGTACAATGGAGCACTTTTCTGCAGACTGCCGTCGCACATCAACGTTGGACTTCATGGGAAATACGTACGACAAAGATTTTTAAAATCTATGGCTGGTTCAACTCGGATGGATCGTTATTGGATACCTCTGGCAAGACATGTGCCAGCGATTGCTAGAGGCAGTGCAGACTGTGCATCAAAGGCTACACAGGACTAAAGGTTAATGGTCTGGAGTGAATTTTTCCGGCTGTATGAGTTACTCTCACGGTGCTTGTGGCGGTTCAGTACTCAAGCACAGGTCTCCAAGAGTCTCCAAACCCGTTCCGCTACGCACGCAAGCAGGCTTTGCATAAGCGGAGAACCGAAGCGAAACTCGACAGTCGAAAAGTCAAAACGTCGAAACGTTTTTGGCTTTTCGACTTTTCGGGTTTTCTTGCACTTTTCGAGACCTTGTGGGGTTCGTTTTGCAGATCCCTGAAGGGCCCCTCTCACGGTTCTAAGACGATATAGCATTTCGCGATTTATGGGCTTTATCGGCTTATGGATCAGCACGACGAACATGGACAGTAAGCACGGGCGGAGTTTGCCTGCAGATGTTGACATGCTATAGAAGGGCCAGTGGCCTGCAGACATCGCTCAGAGCTGTGACGCCGAAGGACCTTGGGGAGACAGGTATCGAGCCAAGCCCAGATGCCCGGCTCCCGTCAGAGAGAACAACTCAGCTCAGGCTTTGGCCTCAGCCTCGTTTGCTCTCAGGTCCGGAATCCAGAGCCCTTCCGTCGCAAAGATCGGTCTAAGCCGAAAGCAGGCAGCTCTGCGCCGAATGCTCGCCCTAGCATCATCCAACTGCGAACTAGTTCCTGTGTGGATGTGCTGGCAAAAGGCTATGTCTGTGTAGCGGCCCAAGCATTGCTTCTTGTTCCCACATGGTCTCCACTTATGGTCTCCTCGTCGCAAGCCTGGCGCTCCTTCTGGCGTCTGCGCTGGCCGCCGATCGCTCTCGGGTTTATGGTGGGAATGTCTGTGGCACTGCTATCACGTCGATGGGAGGCGCGATCCTGCGATTCTCCGAGGTGTTTGTGTGTCTGTGTGCGTGTATATGTGTGTATGTGTGCGCTGTGGACATATTCGCAGCAATCATTGGGCGAAACTGACGCTGCAACTGTGAGATGAAGCATCTGCTTCTCCGGTGTCCTGCATTGGGCGCCCGGGCATGATGTTTGGCTCTTAGTCAAAAAAATGTGTGCCGCCAAGCAAGAGTTCTTCCGAGTCCGAAATATAGCCGTCCTGGCCCTTGGAGGCTGAGATTCTGGAATCGGGCCGCCAGAGACCACCAAATGTCTTTCCAGGACGGCTTTCTGTTTCGGCGACGGTGCGTGAATCAAAGGCATACGCTCGGTATGGTAGCTTCGAAGCACAGGACATGTCCTTGGCTTGGTTTGGCTTTGTCAGTTTTTTCAAGGCCGTGAGAATCCGAGAAATCAGATGTGACCCACCAGAGGAGATCCCAAAATTCAGCGCGTTGAGAGTGGCAACCCGCCGACGTTCATCTTGAAGCACAACAGCAAGGCCAGCACACACAGGAAGCTGCAAATTGAGTTAGCGTTACATGTAACGTTTCTTCCCGTACACAAGCCTGTGTGGCGTTTTTATAGTGAGAGCGGCATTCAGAATGCGAGAGGGAGACCTTTCTTTCTGCAAGTCTTCATCGATGGCAGTGCCGTCAGGCCGGAGGAACCTTCTCTCGCGTGCTGCTCAAAGCCGTTTTCAGAAATCGAGCCACTTTGCTCAGGTCTAGAACCAATACTCCTTTTTGTTCCAAGGGGGAACTCATGGTATCAAATGAACTGCCTACCTGCAGAAGAAGACTTTGCTGTAACAAGCTAAGCCGAGTGTGCAGTGGGGACCCCAGGACCACTAGATTCCAAACCACGCTGGACGGTGGGCGGTTCATGGCCAAAACTGTGAAGCAGAGGTACATCTCCAATATATCGACGACGACAATGTCTTGCCTCTCAACGCTACAACGTTTCACTTCGTCGCAGTGCCTTGGTTTCATGGAGCCCGGGGTCATTCCAGCTCTTTCTCTCTCTCTCTCTCTCTCTCTCTCTCTCTCTCTCTCTCTCTCTCTCAGAAGTTTTGTTAAACTTTCCAGGTGTTGATGAGGAATCCCTGTTCCTGGTACGTGGCTTGGGCCAACGAGTGCCCGACCAAGGCCGGCGGCAGGGCCTGGCGCGGGTTCTCCCTTCTGCTCCAGCCGCTCCATAGAGTAGGACTATGAAGCTGACTCAGCATCGCAAGTATGCTCCTTGGGGCCAGTTGTGAGCTCGGGCGATCGAGAAGTATGTCAAACAGCTTGTTTAGGATCATCAGTGCAAGGAAATGATCCATCTTGAGAGTCACGACGAGCACACGAGAGAATGACGTGCAGGCTTACAGCACGAAGCGTGCCAGAGTGTTCGCACCTCCCTTCCCTCAGATGCCCTAAATCTAGCACTGCTGCGCCCTGCGGTGCAGCCGTACCAGAACCATGGAGCTACTACGAGGGTTACAGGAAGCTAGTGACGCCATGCTCTCAAAGGCAGAGCTTGACCAAATCAATGTGTCGAAAGCATGTGCACCCCACAGCTGCATGAGGTTTTGACCCGTTCGTGCATGAAAAGAATCGTCGAGCTGATATCTACAAACATAGCTTTAGGCAGTTTGCAGCAGGGTTACGTGGTGAGTTAGTTGGTAAAGCATCGTGTCCTTACGCTGATGGAACGCTCTCATGTAGTATCGAACAGCTTCGGTTTCTCATTTAACCGCGTAGCTCATTGCTGACATCGATTTCCGTACAAACGCACATACCTTCGGAATTCTCAGATAAGCTGAAGTAAACTAGTAACTAGTTTGCATACTAGACAGGTGAAGCAGTTGAAGTTTAAGCAGGGGCAGGCCTACACAGACGCGTTTTGTACATGCATACATGCATCCACCAGACATGCCGAAGCTCACAGCTACTGGCTTGCAGTACAGTCGAAGCGACATCTGAGCTCTTGCACTTTCTGCCGCTTGCGTGAGGCCTATGACTTCCGCCGTCCTACTTTCGGTCCGAATCCGTTTCAGCCCATGGGCCACGTGGTTGCAGCTCTTCGGAGTCTCTTCACGCACTCTGAAGGGTCTTTCAGTGAACTGGCTTGGTGCATGGTCGACGATGCTCTCTTTGTATTTTAATGGCCTTCCATCAAAGTTTGCACTAGCGCGGACCACAAGCAGGGGCAGACACTTGTGGTTGTGGCATGTTGCGCCATCCGTCGTCGAAATAGGCAACCTGATGATGACACTTATGCTGATGTTTCGGACCCAGCGCCTTGCTGCAGTGGATCGGGTGTGCCTGCTGCTGTGGAAGTTCTGGACGCGTGTCGGGGCATGCCTAGTGGACTGACAGGGATGCAGCCTAGCTAGTGATTGCGATGATGGTAATGATGATGAAGACGAACACACGGATGAAGCTCGCTGATTGACTTGTGTGGTCTAACAGTTTTCTGTGACATTAGCTGCCTAGAGAGTCGCAGCTTCCGAAAGTGGATACTGCTGGAGTGGGGACATCTTGAGTGCTGAGGATACCTCGAACGGCACACGACGCAGCAGGCCGAGAGTTGCTTCAGACAAGCCATGGTCATCCTGCCTTTACGCAGTCGAAGTCTGATGCTGCAGGAGTTTCAGGACTTTGTACTGAACACTCGATCCCCAGATGGGATTGGTGTCATCGGCTTCTATTTGTGGCAGTCGATGTGGCTTAACCGGCAATGTGTTTAGTGGTGGTTGCTGGCACCCCCTCACCAAATGTCCGGTTCATGGGCACGAATGAACTAAGAATCGCGCCGGTATGCCACCTGTGGCACCAGAGGCTGGCCGAGGGCAAGAAAATGTATGAAGGAGCAACGCCAGAGAGATGCAACAACACTGTGCCGTGGCATCCGACCAGACTACAGTGGGATCATCTCGTGGGCAGGGCTCCTTCAGGGCGCAATGCAGTTGTTCAGCCTGCACACAGCACCATAGGAACGAAGAAAGATGTCAAGCAGCTGAAGCGTGGCGAGCTGCTTTCAATCGTGTTGGTTCCAAGGATCGTATCCGACAAGATCTTGCGGCCGCTGATCCGCGAAAGCTAGCGAACCTCGGCAGAAGTCGCGCTAGCCTGCGTTTGTCATCCCCATGCACTTGAGTTTCAGTGCGCCTTGTGGCGCGGAATACAAGAACACTGTGATCAGACAGGTGTGCCCATCTCTGTCCTCAGCACAAAACAGCGAGTCATGCCGATGTAGATTTTCCGATCTAGCACATGAAAGATAAGGGAGCGACCTAGTTTTCGGGCTACCTGACAATTGTATAGGTTTGAACGGCGAGATCTCTCATTCGTCCTAGGGCCCTAGGGTGCTTGGAATTCGCAGGTGTCGGCACATATTCGTATCTTACTAGCATAGAACGGAGCACATGCCTCTGGCACAGAGCGCGTCTGCCGTCGGCTGTTCAATGTTGTCTGTTGCAACTAACGCCCAGGCACTGCTGGATCTTTCAGGAGACGTTGATGGATGACATGCGGGAGTGCTTACTTGCTTACGAGCCATGTCTTGAAAATGCTGTCTTGGTTCTCCTAGACCTGCTGTTTCTGTTGCACAGCAGTCAGAGACGTGGCCGAATGCTCGCTTCCCAAGGAGCAGCTGATCCTTCCGGGTGCGATCGATTGGGATTTATTCAACCAAGCGGCTGCAAACAGAAGTGGCGAGGCACGGCCTTGAAGCTGCGCAGGGCTAGAGGCTCCAGCGCGAGATCGGTTGAAGCTGCTCCCCCTCTGAACCCAGGGACTTTTCTTCGAACGTGCCTGGAGCGTCGCACGCTGGGCGGCACCGTCGCTGCAGATCCGCCGACACAAGCCCTGTGACTGCTCTGAATGTGGCAACTCGCAGCGTGAGAAATGCATGAAATATCCAGTTGCACGCGTTGAAACTGAAGCAAAGGTGCAGAGCACTTCCAGGATCCTGCCATGACACGAATCCTACGCGCTGCTGACCCGTTCCTGTTTGAGAAATTCGGCTATGGTCAGTGCTGTACACCAAGCTCGCACAGGATCTGGTAGTCCGATGCAGAGGACAAGATCGAGCATTGGAACTCGGAGACCTCGAGCATACAAACTGGTGAAGTTGACAGGTGATGTCTGTTCCTGCTCACGCGACATCATGCAAGATCCGAGTCGATGATGCAGTCGCTGCCCCCTATAGCAGCCGAGAGCAGCAAGATGGCTTGGAAGCAGTCCGGCAGCGGCGGCCGAAGCCGCGCGTGGAGGTCGCGACCTCCACGGATCTGCACTCCGACGATGGCGCTTCAGCGGATTGCACACGCACGTGACTGCAAGCTCTGGCCGCCGAGTGGAGATCTGAGGGGTGCTTCCCTCAAGCGCGCAGCTGCGCAGCTTCAAAAGTTGCGAGGATTGCAGCACCGCACATGCCTTTGCGGAGGTTTAACAAGACACACAGTTGCAAGAGGACTTCAGTGCTCTTCAGTGCTTAGCAAGAACTTCGAGAGACAAGGGTGCGACACATTGAGCTTCCTGCGTAGATGCCGCTTTCGCTTAAGGACGTCTGCGGTTGTTGCCGACACATGTTTTTGAGCCCGCGAGGCACGGGAGTTCAAATCATAGACTGTAGTAGACGATTAGAAGCTTAGAAGCGGAACACACGGTTGGAATCTTTCATCCAAGGTGGACTCATGTTGACGTACTTTTATTTTAGCAGAAAGTGAATCACTCGGTCACAAGAATCAAAGAACAAGCCGCGAGCCGGTAGCGGGTTTGTTCGATTTCAGGGCGTTCCGTGCCAAGTGCATCGGGGGACTCATTACCGCGCAACCTGTGCAGTAACACCCTCACGGTGATGTAATTATTCATGCTTAAGGGATCTTAAGAGAGTACCGTTGCAAAGCCGCAGGTGTCTGGAAAGCTCCACCACCTCCTCCACCACCTCCGGAGCAGAACTCAGTCTTCGCGTTCGCATGAATGTATCTCTCTGTCTCTCCTGTCCTCCCTTTCCGCCTATCCAGCCATGTAGCTATCCATCTATCTGTCTCTCTATCTATCCACCAGTCTATCCAACGCCAGTCTATCCAATTTGTGCATCTGTCCATCTATCCGTCTGTCTCTCTTTTTTCCTTTCTATCTGTCTATCGTTCTACCTTCCTATCTACCTCTTGACCTATCTATCCATCTACCTTTCAACAGCTGCTTGCCTGCTCAATCCTCGTGCGCATGTGCGACTAGCTGCGAGCTGTAGTTACTGTAGTCGCTTTGGTTAGCATGAGATGTCGAGGCCAGGGTACCACCAACGCGCATCAGTTTCACGGAGGCTCCCGGCATGAGGGCTTGGAAGTGGTGCGAGGTTCATTGCCAGAGCAATTGAACGGGTGCCCGAGATGTCTCCAAGCCGCAAGCCTGAGCGTGCACTCCTGCAGGATCATGCTCCTCCAGGCTTTTAAGGCAGAGCCGCAGTGGAGAGAAGCTCGGGGAATGGGTAATGGGTTGCGGGGTTGTCTGGCGGTCTCCAGTTGTGCTCTCCTTGGATTTCTAGCCTGCGCAGCAAGGGTCATGGTCAAGCGAGACACCCGATGCCCTAGGACCTAGGAGATGAGCTTGTGAAGGCCTTCACACGCGTCCGCGGTCGACTGATGGGTTCTTCACCAAGAGAGCCATCGGACACGAGCCTTGCGGTTTCGCATTTGCGACTCTCACCAAGTACTGCATCACCACCTTGATCGAGCTTGCTTCCTGCACTTGAGTTGGCCCATGTCCGAAGTCGACAGTTTTCACCATCAAACATGGCCTGTGTGTGTAGTGCACTGCAGGTCATGCCACCCATGCTCTGTTGTGCTTGCAGCCAGTGTCGGGTCAGCAGTGCTGACTCTGCACGCAAAGCTCATCACATGCTCTTGGTGTTACCAGTGTCAACAAGCCAGCCAATGTGACGGATGTCTAGCACAGGACCATGTGCCTGTCTGCCAGGAAAATCGCAGCAGTTGCCTGGGGCTACAGGCCCAAGTAGTTCTATTTGGGCCTGCAGGCGTGCAGCTCCCAATAGGTACAGGACATGATCCAAAGCGCTTCTTAGCAGATTAAAGTGGTCATCCTGAGTATGAGTATGGTTGTTTGGAGGAGGTTCCGATGGGAGAGGCGCCTCTTGTGCGCCTATCGGTCGAACGACCTTGGGGACCTTGCTCCTCTGGGCAGCCGCATACCCCAACATTGCAGATTGAGCCTTATGGGCCAAGACCCAAACAAGCGGCTGGCCAGCCGATTCTAGCTTTGGACTCGGCTACAGGAGCGGCAAAAAGCGCCGAGCTGCATTGCCACTGTGGCAAGCTTCACCATCTTTCAGAAGCCGTCTGCCATCTCACAAGTCATTGCTTCTTCCATGCCACTGCTTTAATAAAGCAGTGGCATATTATGAGGCCAGTGCAACCTTTAGGAAGAGCGCTTGATGCCGAGCAGGCTTTGGCTTTAGCGCTTACTTCGCTCAAGCGCGAATGCGAGGTAAAGCACGGAGCTTGGATGTGCCGGCGTTGATGGACTAAGCAATAGCGCAATGTCTGGCAAGGGTGTACGTGCCAGCTTCGACCGGTCAGCGTGCGCAAAAGCAGAGTGAGTACAGTAGCGCAATCATCTTAATGCACGTGCTTAGCAGGGCACATGCGCAAGTCTGCTGGCTGAGGCTGTGACCTTCGTCCTGCTCGCGTCGATGTGCTGCTTTATCGTCGGCATTGCAGGGGCCCATGGCATGAAGGCAGGAAGGCCCAACTCATCACAGCTTTCCCTTGGCCGCGGAGGCTAATTCTTCTATTTTGAAGCGATCCTTATCTGACTAGAATTCGCAGAGCCCCACTCCATGCGTTTATGAGTCTTATGTTGGACTGAGCTGACTGGAGCCTGTCTGTAGGGTTAGTTTGGGGGGGTGTCCGTTTGACCACTTCTCAGCATGGCATGGCAGAGCTGCTGCAGGTTTGTCGATGGAAACGGCAGTGCAGTGCTGCTTTTTGTGTCCCAGAGTCGCTCAGGTTCTGTTTTTCTGGCCCGTGACGCCGCCGGCCGAACCATCCGCAGCAGGGCCGGGGCCTGAGAAGTTTGCTTCTGAAGTCTCGGTGTGACCCGGAATTCCGAGGCGCAGCTTCTTCTTTCGGCACGGCGCCGCATGGGCGGGTCCCACCAAGGAGGGACCCCAGCACAACCCATCCTGGGTTCTTCCAAATGTTCGTGAAGACATGTTGGCGTTGCGATGGTGAAAGATCAGTCAGGGCCTGCAAACCTTCAGAACTACCAAGACTGTTCTCTTTTCACCGGGTTCCGTCGTAAGCCGCAAGAATGCCACCCGAGCTTTCGCTTGATTTGGATTCATGCCTCAGCATGCTAATACTTTCGCTTGTGTGCCTGTTGATGCTGGGCCCGATGAAAGCCGGCACAAGGTGATGGCAAACTCTCAACGGTTTCATGCACTTCACACGCCTCTTGATTCTTGATCTGGTGCCAGGCTCTGCGCCATTTGAGATTACGAGGGACGCAGAGACAGCTTGGTGCCCAAGTCTTGTCATCGCTGTGACGTCGCCAGGATTGAGAGGAGTTGTTGGGTGTCGGGTCCCTGCCCTTATCGTTATCGCTTTCAGTCGAGTGCACTGCACGTAGCTTCTTACCTCTTACAGCTCTAGCTAGTTAGCTGCGACATCCAAAGTGGCACGATTCGGAATGCTGCAACTGGGGAAAAGAACGCCTGTTGGGTTGACCGCTGAATCGGGAAGGTCCTGGGCATCTGCTCCGACATAGCATCTTCCCCAAGCCGTAAATGCCATGGCCGACGAGAGCCGGCTGCGTGGCACCGCAGCACTACTTGAGGAGGCACGCATGGCTTAGAAAAAAGGGTGTCATCGGTTTCCTTTGCTCAGACTTAGAGGTGTGACAAGGTTTTGCACTGGAGCAGCCAACGAATTCATAAATCTCTCGATGCTGGTACAAGTTTGTTGGCAACCGCAGGGGGGGGGCAGAAAACACTTCCAAGCTTTGCGTGCTGTAGCCGTCCTCTTCGTGGATGTGACCAGGCAAAGCGCGCTGACTCTCGCGGTTTAGCCTTGTTGGAGGCTCCTCGCCTGTTCTTTCATGACCCTGTGCTTTCGGCCTGAGCTTCGCCAGCAAAGGAACTCCTCCTGGCCTTCGGAAAACGGGATGCCCCAGGCCAGGCCTAGGGCCTAGGGCCCCAAGCCCTTGCCCACCTGGCTCACGAACAGGACTCTCCGAGAATGAGCGGCATCGAATTGCGGCCGAGGCACATGGCTTGAAACAGGCTGAGACAGCAGAACGCCGATTTTCCTACGCGTGCGTGGGCGATCGCAGATATGACCCACTCCAGGACGTCGAGCCTCTGTTGGAATTGCTGCAAGAGGCCTGTGCGAAGTATCGTGTTTTATCGTGCCTGTGAGATGCTTTGGCTCCTCCGCTAGAGTCGCCGGAATTCGCCAGAGATCTGAGCAACGCCAACGCTGTCTGTTCGACCTCCCATGCAGGTGGTCAGCGCCAGCGGCCGTGCTGCGGCTGCTCTGCACCACGCTGCGCGGAGCCAGGTGGAGGGAGGCCGCATGGAGGATGGACTCGGAGAGAGGAGTGCAGGCTTTGGCGATAGCGAATAGTGTTGTCAAGGGGAGGTTACATCTTGCACCTCACTCCTGCTCGACCATAGATTCTGGCACGAGTGCTTGGCAAGACGGCTCTGTGCGCTTGCCAGCAGTTCCGGTGCTCTTTCAGAGTCTTTTGGCAGCTTAATAGGAGGAGAGATTGTAGGCCCCAGGCAAATAATAGAGGGCGGACTGGAGGTTATCTTTCCCAGCTTCACTGTGCAGGCGCCTCAGACGCTTCAGCCGAGGAAGTCTTGACCTCGGCCCTGTCTCGCTTGTCTTCACGAAGTTTCATGAAGATCATGTCATGTCTAGTGGTAAACAATCCACCTTGATGCAGTCTTAGATTCTTGGATGTGCTGCATGTTGCGCCATGAGCAGGGCGAGCATGATCCTCTAAGATGCTACGAGGTCAAGGCCCTGTTCCAAGCTGCT